CCTTCAATAGCTGTTTTAGCCTTGCCCTTACAGTAGTGTATCAAATAGAGTAAGCGCTGGCTATCATCCGTGACTCTTGATGCTACACACGTCTCAAACGGCCGTATAAATTTCCAATAACCTCTTGGCTCTCCATCGAAATAACTCAGTTCAACCTTAGGTAGTTCTAGACCAACAACAGGCGCTATAGGCAAAACGCTTTTTCCTGATGATTCAAGCCTTTGCTTCTCCTTTAAACTAAGATTTTTTACGTCATCTGTCATCGAATTAAGACTAGAGTCACTACCATGATAATCAACCCTATTCGAGTCTGAACCATGACACTTAAGGACATCAAAAGGCACCTGCTTAGTAATAGGGGATTCTTCATTAACGTCAACGAACTTCGAGCTTGATTTCCTTCGACGATTAGTTGGCATTATAAATGAAACGACCAAATATTTCCAGAACCGATAATGAAAATCCGCGAAAAGATTGCCAAACGACTTCGGCCAAATATTTGTTTAGAACTGTAGAATCCAAACTACGGTTTGGATGTTGAAGAATAGCCGACCGTGGATTTTAGACACGCGCCCTTTCCCGTCGAAATCAGAACAAGTAATCGAGTACCTAGCGGTTCCATAATTCATCATAAATTTAAATGTAAATCGTTACCTAAACAAATATTACCACCCGGCTATTCAACCAATAATTGTTCAATCAATCAAATCTAAACTACAATAAATAAGAAAGTTGATAAAGAATGCAAGAAAATTACCAATCACCACAAATAAATGTTATTCTATCCTGTCTGGATAGATCACGTACAGATTCGTTCAAAAGGTAATAATTGGTCGCTCTATAACACAGAGTGTTTTCAATTCTGGAAGAGTGCTTCAATTCACAACCAAAACGCACAATTCCAGTCAACACAGGTCAAGCAATCAAAAGCAGGAACCAACCAAAATGGCTGCCGCTCAGACTTAGTATAAAGTAAAACAACATAAGTGCAGTTCGGGAAGAAACATAGGGAATTAGTGAAGGTGTGGTTAAAACGAAAACTATGATAAAATACAAATATTAACAATTCAAATGTAGTCCAAAAGTTAACAATGTACAACTAAGAAGATCAATAGGAACAAAGTGCAAGTATATACATGGAGGGATTTTCACAAACACACAAAACATTCAAAATGGATCTTAAACATGTATTTGTTCATAAAGCAACAAAATGATCTTAGACGGTAATAATTTTTTGAACTACTTATCTCTGCAGCTCCCAATTTTTACTAATGCGGACTTTCAGTCTATATATGTACCATATACCGTACTCACTTTGATTGTTTGATACTAATTATCGACATTTCTAAATAACTTTATTATATAAGGCTATCTTTCAGTGTAATATATATGTTAAAATTTACACGACTTGCTATTTTATGTTCTATTTTGCCTCCGCACAGTTACTGACATACAGACTACATCTCCACTACAATCTCCCTGCCATTCTCATCTCTTGCTTTTGACATCTTCACTATTTCTCACGATACATTCACTCTTGGTCAGAACATAAGTTTTGATTTCAAGGCTATCTTGAGCTCTCGGCATTGATTTTTTCATGCATTTCTACTTTCAACTTTTTGTTTAATCCATCTGTTATGCGTCACTTTCTTATCATGCCACAAAAGAAAATGAATGCCCCTGCTTCTTAGCGTCCAGCCAAACGTATGAAAACAACACAATCTAACACTGCTACGGACACGATTTCCGACAATTTCAACGAGACGAGCTACTCCGTTCATTCGGAAGCGGACAAGCTTTTACCAGTTGTCTCCATGCCATACATGTTGAAGACTCAGTTGGTAAACAGTGATGATAATCACAGTTTTAACGATGTGGATGATATACAAAGTTGCAAGCTGACATGAATATTTTCAATCCGCTTTAGTATCTCATCAACCTCAACCTCACAGAGATTCTAGATCAAGTGAATGACGTAAATAATCTCCTAGATCGCGTTGCATCAGAGGTATTTGGAAGAATAAGACGATCTAGCAATGCAATTGTGTTCAATATACCGGACACATATGCCCTTAAAAATATCAAGTCTAGTCTGCTTAGAGCCAGTAATATGACACACGTACCATGTGTATGCACAAGATTAAAAAGAAGTCACCCTGGTATCCACTCACCAATCTTCAAATTCAACTCATCTGCAGAAGCCAGTGAGTTTCTAACTTTCCCCAATTCATTGAAACAAAAACAGATTTTCAAGGATATTTAGATTCTTCCAGATAGAACACTATGCCAGCAAAAAGCAGAACGAGATAACTACAGACCACCAGCGTCAAACTCCCAAACGCATTATAATCCTAACGGTTGTAAAATTAAGTCAGATTCTAAGAGGACGTCTAGCTTTACAAGTATGACGCCACAGAAAAACTCTCCCGATGTAGGTGGTGTCCATTGTCTTAGGACTGTTGACTTAGATTCAACCCGAAGTAGTTGTTCTGATGACGAATGGGACAACACAGTCCAAATCCCTGTTAGTGCAACACCCAGTTACAGTAACTGTGCAACGGATAACAGGAAAACTAATCATAACATTTATATAACTGACCCTATACTTAATGTCGATACATTCGAATCTTGCAAACCATCGCAAGTATGTTCAACAGCACAAAATTCCCCCCAAATTACGAAGGAGACAAAATAAAACACAAACCTTGGAAATAAACGTCTGGAACATGTTACCCATACGTCAGGTATAAATAGTAATCTGAATTGTAAATGGTGATTGGTCGCACACATGGACCTGATAGCCTTATTGGTCCGGCTCCCAATATGTACACTATGCTTTTATCAGATGTTATATCTAATAGCAATGATAAGACTTTTTTTGTAATTCCGCCGGCGTTCCTGCCGGCAACGGTAAACATATTTCAAATGATGACAAAGTGGTTGAATATATTTCCCCTCGCAACACAAGTCTTACCTTAGCCAATCCTACGAGTATTCATGGAACTACCAATTGCGATTTATACTCTAACCTGCTTCACCATGATAACTCTGAGTTTCTTATACTTTCTTTCACTACCCACTCTTTGTCCAATAAAATTACTCATCTTAAAACCCTTTTATTCCTTGTAAATCCAACCATTGTACTTATTACGGAAACGTGGTGTAATTCATCTATATCCGATCATTCCTTGAATGTAGATAACTACGTTTTCTTTAGAACCGATAGATGTTATGGATTTGGAGGCGGTACAATTATCTATGTCCGTTCATACATTCAGGGGTGCAAATTTGAGGATAAATCTCTTGATGCTACAGACGACTACACTTGGTTTAATGTAAACTGTGGATCTCAATATTATCTACTGTTGGAATGCATGCACAGACCACCTCATGCGGAAACTAAGTTTGACAGATTACGAACAAACATCTTTTCCATTGCTTCGCACCAACCGCATACTTTTAAAATCATCGAAGGTGATTTTAATCTGCCAAAAATTACATGTGGTTCGACTCCGGTATCAGGTAGATATAACAAGCCAGTTGTGGATGGGTTCAACAGGTCTGAAAACCGACTAGGAGGAATAATATACTTGATTTACTGTTTACAATCAACACAGACTCTATCTCAGTGCATACCAGTCATGAGTTTTTAATGGGTGATCACAGAGTTGTATTGAGTATTATTCACTTTTTAAACGCCATACAATTGAACTCTAAAGCTTCAATGATGTACCAGAGCAGACATTCTGACCAACGAACCTGGAGAAGGACTGAAACTCTCATTCAATGTTTACCATGGGAAACTTATTTTACCACAAATAATGTTGAAATTGCGCTTTCCAATCTATACCACAACCTGATATATTGCCTTGACTGCACTGCTCCAGTTATTGGCCATGTGGTTTATAATGATAATGAAGACCAGAATATATTTAAACCTTTCAAAAGAAAGCTGGGAAAATTAAAACGCCGCTTCTACGAGTACAATGACGTGTACACACTTCAGAGTATACTTAATTTCATCGACACAAATGCTCCATCTAAACGCAAGTATTTTATGAACATAGAAAATAAAGCTCTAGGTAGTAAAAGTCCAGAATTATCAATACTTCGCATTTTTAAATCCAGCGTGAAGTCAGATTCTCTTGGCGCGACTAAATTCTTCATAGTCAACGGAAGCATTGTTGACGACCCTGATATTTATTGCGAACAATTCAGCAAGCACTTCTCGCAATGCTACAAAACTGGAACTGAAAGCTCTATCATTACATTTCCAATGCTGACATCCAGACACCTATCGTGAATCGATTTTAAACCCTCCAAAATCAAGCAGGCCATAGCTGCCCTGAAAAAGTCTTATGATGGTGGTTCTGACGGGATACCTTCATCATTTCTGAAATATGGTAGTAGAGAATTTCCACCATTTTGTTTGAAACTTTTCAACCTATCTATGGAATATGGGGCCTATCCATATGTATGGAAAACATCCCTTATCACCCCTAGATTCAAAACAGGACCATATAGTGATATTATTAACTATAGGCCAATTAATTTGACATCCGTGCTCTCAAGAACCATGGAAAAAATCATCCACAAACAGCTATTGTCATTTTTACTTTCGGCTAGCCTGATTAGCCCATCCCAACACGGGTTTATGACTAAACGCTCATGCTTCACATCACACTTAGAATTTTTTGATCAAATTACCCATAGAAAAGATGTTGGTTAGTGAGTGATAATTCTTTACTTCGATTTTAGCAAGGCTTTCGACAGTGTATCACACAAACTTCTTCTCCTAAAACTCTTTTCATTTGGCATACAGAATCCTCTTCTATATCGGCTCAAATCTTTTTTAGAAGAACGTAGCCAAATCGTTCGCTTTGGATCTTGGTACTCTAAACCTGTGAATGTAACAAGTGAGGTTATACAAGGAAGTGTGATTGGTCAATTGCTTTTTCTCCTTCTTATAAAGGACATGACCTTGAAGAAGTCCGCTGACCTAGCGGGTTAAACGACTAATATTAGCAACACGATCGCTCAACACACTACCTACGTCTAGTTTCTATCCCAAGATTATAGTGATTTTAGGCTTGTGTTCCTTCTAATTGTTGTTGATTGCTTTCCTTGACGCAACCTTCGTCACTTTCGCTACTTTGCATGCTCCATTAGTACACGTAGCACCTTCTGGCTAAATACGTACAGCTACGTCAATGGCAAGAACTTTCCGGTATCGCTATGGTAATTATGAAGTATAGGATCTCGTCGACTAAAAAATGCATTAACACCAACTAATGAAAAACGACTACGATAATAATCTGTCCTTAGCAACTGGAGGTTTCGATCATACTATCCGAATGTGGCAACCGAGCACTGGAAAATATATCCAAGGTTTTCAGCACAATGAATCACAGGTAAACGCTCTCGAATTTTCCCGCGACGGACAGTACCTAGCAGCTGGTGGTTATGGTCGAGTTCGTATCTATGATGTTCAGGGTCCCGCAACACCCTTCGTTATGGTTTCAGATTTCACGAAAAACGTAAACACAGTTGGCTTTAATGATACAGGGAACTGGATGTTTGCAGGAGCTGAAGATCGTGTAGCAAAGATTATAGATTGGCGAGCCGGTGGAAATCTGTGGATAACACGTATTTACCAGACGTCCTCGAACATTAATACAATGTTGCTTCATCGCAATCAACATGAAATTCTCATCGGAACAAGTAAAGGAGAAGTTATAGTTTGGGACCTTCGCAACAATGCGGCTAATTCCATATGCATTGATGGCCAAATTGAACCCATTCATAGTTTAGCTATTGACCAAGAAGTAACTTCATTAGCTGCAGTTAACTCTGCTGGTCAACTTATTGTTTGGTCTTTAACAGGTGATTCTGCTTGGAAACCTATCGAAAAACATCGGCAAAAAGTACATCCAACTTACGTGTTTCCTCTTTCAGTATGGTAAACCTTTCCTTTTCGCCGATGACCTAAAAGTAGTTTACTCATTCTCTTTTCCCACGAAAGAAAGCTATATTTCAGAGGTAATCCAAAAGGAAATAAACAAGTTATACGAATGGACTGTTTCATGGAATTTGCCACTTAATATTGGCAGAAGTGGATTTATTTACATTGGCCGCTGTCTTAACTTAAATCTGACTATTCACAAACATACACTGAAACCCCTCAACACTGTTCGTGACTTGGGTTTAAGATATAGTAACAGTCCGAACTTTTCTGAACACATTGCATCGGAAGTATCCAAAGCTAGAAAGCTGATCGGATTGATAATGATAAACTTCAATAATATCGAATCAAGATTGTTATTATACGGAAAATGTATCTTACCCATTCTTGAATATGGTATTTTAGTTTACAGTAATTGCAGACATAATGACCTGATTAAAATTGAAGGTGTTCAAAGAAAGTTCACCAAAGCTGTTATGGGGTATTCTGATAGCAAAGACTATAACCAAAGATGTCAACAACTCAACTTAGAACCTCTTTGGATCAGATGTATCAAATTAAATCTTGTCTTTATCTACCGGCTTATTAACGGTATTTCCTACTCTTCGGTATCTACCCCTTCATACTCTATGATATCATCCCACAATCTACGCAATAAGAAAAATGTCCTAGCGATTCCAAGAAAACACACAAACTTATGCCAGAATTTTTTTCGTTATTCGCTAGTCAACCATGTGGAACAGACTGCCAGTGAGCCTCCGTTTAAATGAAACTGCAACTCGGTTCAGAAGTCTCCCTGATGATTTTCTTTCCGAAAGTGGATTGTGTCACCTATTGAATATCAATGTGTTTAACAATGATTTATGCAAATAAAGTCCGTCATCCATCTAATTGACTGAAAAGAAAAATGTAACCTTTGAAACTTTTCACGTCTATTTTATTTTTTTCATGTTCATTTTAATATATGAAGTCTGCTTATGTTCGTATTTAAAATTATTACTGTTATTAGTAACATTATTGGTCTCCCAACACACTAAATATTCTTTTCATCTCATCTTATCCTTCTAAACATATATTATTCCTAAACATCTAACGTCTATAACTAAAAACAAAACAATTATCCAATGCTACACTTACATAAATTAACTTCTCAAATTTATACATATATATGACACAGAAATTTCTATTTGATTATCCTTTTCAGTTAAGTGTGACTTTCATATAACCATTTTTAATTATTATTGCGCAAATGTTTATATTAATATCCGGTTTCACTCTGTATTTTATTACATAAACCTACATGTATTTATCCGAGCACAGTGAAGAATTTTTTATTTTATTTTATTATATTTTTAAATTGTTGGTTTACTTAAGAGGTCGATATTCATCACACAATTGTTATTATCATAGTTGAACCCCTTCAGTAGGTGTTCATTTCTTTTCTCCTTTCCTTCCAAATAAGTATTACTCTGAAGTTTACGAAGTTTTTTGTCAAGAAAATAACTTGTGTTACATTTAAATTTACTTCTCAGACTCGCTTTATCTTCACTATGCATATATGACTCGTACATATTTATATTTTATTATCCCTTTCACTTAATTGAAACTTTCATAGCATCGCTCCAAGCTATGACTGCACAAACATTTATTCCAACGTCATATCTTACCGCAATAACAAATTATTTTTTCTTGATTATTTCCTATTTTATGTTTTTACTGATTTGACGATACATATACAGTCGTTTATTCTTGTTCTGTGTTCACAAACACGCCTACTAAACTATTTGTGTATTTCATGTCTCCTTTATTTCTATTCCCTTATCTTCTTCCTTTCCTTCTTTAAACTCAATTCAATATTCTTCTCAATTACACAGAACCTGATTTATTATTATTCTATTATTACTATTATTCTCGTTTTCAAATATGGCAAATACGATGCCAAAATTATTGAAACTTGTGTATTATTGAACTTTTGAAGAAATCCGAGATGGTTTGTTCACAACACTTATGTACCCATAAGACGTTTGTGAATAATAATAATAATAATAATAATAATAATAATGGTCGGCGCCCTATGCTCCACTAGGAGTAACAGGCGTAAGTAATTAAGCGTAAGGACCGGTCCAAATGTGAACTCCCTATTCCACTTACTATAGATTGTTTCGTAAAGCTGACACATCCGGCCGTTTGAACGTCCAGTACCTGTTGTTGGTGAGATTTCTTTGCTCAGATTTGATGATAAAAAGGGCTGTGACGGCAAGATTGCTTTTACTTAAGCAAGCCAGGATTGAGAGGTTCTCAATAAGAACTTTTCGTTTGTAGATGCCCAGTTTAAGAGCGACTGCATCTGACTGTTTCTACAACGAGTTGCCGACTTCACACTTTCGAATAATCCCAGATCCTCAATGAGACTGAAGAATCTAACTTCAGTAAAGTTTTCACTTGAAATATACGTTTGTTCCGCGAGATTGACTTTAGCAATATTGAAGTCCCCTAGGATCAGGACTTGAGTGAATCCGAGACGATTAGAGTGGTTTAATCCTTCCAGCATACGATTTTTGTACTCGATCTCCTCAGTGTGCTTCTTGTAGATGACTCCAACCAGACACCTCGAGGTGGTAGATACTCTTACTGAGCACCATACGGATTTACAAAGATTGATAAACTCTTGGTTGTGCACTTCAGTTTCAGTTTGGAAAGGACAAGATGCTTGATGGCCTTTGTTAGTCCTGGCAATGGTAGTCCCTAAGTTGATCCAACTTTTTTTTGAAAGAGCCGACGGATGGAGCCTCAACCACGTGCTGAGGTTATGAATTCCACTCGTTGATGATTCTATGGGAAAGTCAGCTGACAAGTAATTTGTTCTCGGCTTGTGAACTTTTTTGTAGTGTCCTCGTAAATTCTCTGTTTTGGAAGACAAGAAAAATTAGGGCATATCAGGTGCGAATTCATCACTAAGCAATTCGAAAACTGTAAACAAGTCGCCTCTAGTTCTACGATACGACAACGGGAAAAGGTTTAGCTTGGCCAGTCGAGCTTTGTACGGAAGCTTCGCTATTTCGAGGATCATCTTAGTTTCTGTTATCTGAATCTTTTCCAGAAGCTTGCTGTCTTTTTAAGCAGGGGCTAGCCGCTTGTATGCAGTACTCAAGTTTAGGACGGACGTAAACTGTATACAAATTCAAAAACGTTTTAGCGTCGACATGACTAAAAGCTCTACGTATTGACCATAAGGTTCTACAACCTTTGACGGCTATTGCACGGCAGTGCGCAGTAGTTTTTAAGTCTTGTCTAACGATAACTCCTAAGTCACTATATGTCTGGACGACAGGTAGCTCAGTGTTATTCATCGTGTATGTATATGTGCCTTGATGACCGATTTGCATCACAACGCACTTGGGAGTATTTATCGGCAACTGCCAGATTTGAAATCAGTCAGATTATTTCTTCGGGTCTTTTTTTGGAGCTCTAAGCTATCATCCTTACACCGTATCGTTCTCCATATCTTGACATCGTCAGCATGTAGCAAGACCGATGATGATAGGAGACGAGGAAGGTCAGTTACATACAAGAGGAATAGCACTGGCCCCAAAACTGTACCCTGAAGCACTCCAGTAAGCATAGTTTCCTAGCTAGACAACTTTAAGTTCTCCAATACTCTTTGCTGGCGCCCAACTAGGAAGTCTTTTATCCACATCAGTAGATTGCCTCCAACTCTAACATTTTCTAGCTTATATAACAACCGGTTGTGCGGAACTTTGTCAAAAGCTTTGCTGAAATCAATGTAGGCTACTTTAACAGGTAACTTCTGGTCCTTAAGAGCGCACCAGCTTTCACGAGCTACTAATAAGTTAGTGAGACAAGAGTAACCTATTCCGAAACCGTGCTGCTTCTCCGAAAGAATCCGCTTTTCATCGAGGTACTTAAACAGCTCCCTCTGGATAATCTTTTCTAAGATTTTAACAACCACATTAGTCGGGCTAACTGGTAGGTTATCCTCAGGTTTATGTTTCGTACCTGTTTTGAAGGCAGGTCTTACTATGGCGTTCTTCCAATCTGTTGGTAGACGACCTTGCGTTACGGATGGATTTACCTATGTCAAGCTTATTTAGCAGACCAAAGACATCAAGTTCTATAATGGTCACGCTATCCAGTGTATATGCTAAAGTAGTTTGAGAACACTTGAGCCTTACCAAAGTCGTTCTCCACTAATGGTGAGGCAGTACTACCTCCCGATAGTCAGGAATATTTCCTCTTCTTTTGCGCGTGCTCGTGATTTACAGTCATATGGATGTCAAAAGTTAAAATTGCGTAATCACCTTTGCCTAGGTGTGGCATGTAATGGAGGTCCTCAACGTCATCCCCATAGTGAGTCAATATAAGATCGAGTAAAGATGATCCAGTGTCCGGGTCGTCCCTATTCGCTTCTTTCACATGTTGCACTAGGGTACATGTGATAACCGCATCAACTAGTTCCTGCTCAAAGGAATTTTCTGACGATTCAGTTCGCAGATTTTCCCAGTCTACCATTGGTGCATTAAAGTCCCCTAGGATTAGACATCGACCACTTTGGGACCAAGTATTGAGACTGCTTAACAGGATCTCATTTGCCTCACAGCTTGGACTGCGATAGACCAAGCCAATCAGCAGCTCTTGTCCCTTGCATTTCAAGCGGTAAATAACTAATTCACACGTCCCACTCTCATGAGATACACCGTCGATAATAGCAAATTGGATAGCGTTCCTAATAAATAGAGCTACTCCCCCTCCTTTACGCTTTTGTATTCTATCAACCCTTACTAACGTAAAACACTCGAAATGAAGTTGCATACTATCTAGAGACTGTGTCAGCCAGGTTTTTGTTACTGCGATTACGTCTGGCTTTGTAGAGTCAATCTGTACACCTAGTTCCAATCCCTTATTAAGTAAGCTCCGGGCATTGGTGTAACAGATCCGAAGCCTCTTTAAGTGGCTCCGTGCTTCAGCCAGAGTGGCTTCGGCATCAATCTCTGTCGAAGCCTTACAACCCGAAAATTTACTATTTTTATGTTTTTTTTCGCCAGCGTCTAACCTAAGTTGTAGTTCTTTTTCGTCTTCCCGTCTTTTAACACGGTCTGCCAACGGTAAGTCCTTTCGGATGAAGACTCACGAATCCTTTAATTTATGTCCATTCCGTAAAATTAAGTCGCGTTCATTCAAAGATTTGAATACTACTTTAGGTAGTCGTGGTTGATTAAGCTTCAAGTTTGCTAGACTACCTAGTCTATACACCTTTAGCAAGATGGTTCCGGGGATATTTTGGGGCATGAGTTGAATAAGTAGCTGTTTTATCAGCACAATGTCATGCTCAAAACGAGTTTTTGGTTCAGAGCTTTCACTCTCCTTGATTCTATGAAAAATAACTGATCTGTCACTGTGATCACTCTTCGATTTCTCGACTACTTTTACGGGGGTATGATTCCCTTTTATATCGTTATGTTGTTTCTTCCTTACAACCTGTACCCATTCGTCCACGTTGCTATGAGAGGCAATCACAGTTACGTAAAACATACTGTGGGATTCCAGAGGGTTGTCGACGATTTGGAAGGTCAGATTATGTTTCTCGCTGGAAGCCGATCGAGCCTTGGGATTGCTGCCTCTAGGCGTTTCCTGCTGGATACCATTTAGAAGACGAAGGACAAAAGAAACTTCTTTTCTTGAGTTTTTAGTTAAAACAGACCTCTTTGTTGACTGTTTTTCCTCCTTTGGTCGAGGGGAGTCACCCGTTTTCAAACTCACCTGAGTTTACTTCACCCCAATTTGCGTGTCGACAGAGCGAGCGCTGTTCAATGTGTTCCGACCACTCTTGCCAAAACACTTTTTTGCAGCACTTACCAATGAGATGGCCTCGGTTGGCAAGCTGTTCGCATCCGAACAGCACTGTTGACGAAGCCATACGCAACCGTTCTTACTGAACCATTTGAAAACCGCAGGCATTAAATTCATGAAAACTTTGTGGCACCAGCCTTTGCACTCATCGCACTGCATGCCGCTTTCAGCGGGATAACGACAGTCCGGACGTTGGTAATTGCTTTTTTTGCACTGTCCACTCATTAGACAGGTCATTTAAAAAAAAACAAGATGCAATAATACTCAGGAACAGTAATGACCTATGACCAAAAAAGTGAAAAACTGTAGAGTTTTGGGACCAACAGTACTAACAAATAGAACAGAAAACAAAGTGCTGAAAAAAACCGACGAAAAACTAATTTAGAAACAGTAACGATACTCTAGTCGAATACTTTAACTGAAATAAATTCAATTAAAATGAAAACAGTAGTCTTGTTACGTAATAAACGAGAAAAACAATAGGATTTACTCAGCGAGGAAAAATACCGCTGTCCTTTTAATTGGCGCGCGTGATGATTCACCAGGCAAGATCGTAAGTATAAGGCTACTCCACCACTAATCCCTGTTTTTCTGTCATTGCGAAGCAAAGACGTTCCAGGTATTGCTAGCTCCCGGTCCGTAAGCAGAGAAGATATCCAATTAGCAGATATTCCTATCAGATGAGCATTATAAGCATTATTGAGTTCACGCAGTTCAACCATTTTATTCAGTAAAATCGCGGCTTTCATATGCATGCAGCTTATGCTTTCATTCTGAAACGCGTGAGCTTCCTCGTTCTGTCTATCTGCATGAGCTTAATATGAATGAACAGATAGCCTACCTATGCAAAGTTTTTCGAGTTTATAGTCCCTGTCATTCACCCTTTTTTCATGATCTAGACAGTCCACAAGTGGAATGGTCAGCTTCAACTTGTTTTTGTGCTTGATTCTGGCTTCATGTGGCCTATATGGATGCGTATGTTTTTCAATTGACAACCAGCGTCTGTAAGCACAAAATGCCTCCAGAATTGCAGCCGCCATTTGGGAGGATAGGAAAGTTACCTTTATCAGTCGAGGTGTAGAATCACCGTCCTTCTTGGCGAGTCTCACAACTTGCTGAGCTTCAAGGACTGCTTGATGAATTTCCATTTAGGAATGTCAGATTTAGTGTGGTCAGGGTATGTGCTTTCTGGTACACCTTGCACAATGAAATTTCTTCCGCGAGATTCTTTAGGGATGTCTCGGATGAGAATGCGCTCGGAATACGGCATACCAGGCGGTATTATTACGTTCCCATCAGATTTCAGTAGGTAACCAATAATAATAATGTATTCTCAAATAACATTCTTTTACTTGAGGCACACCAGTTTACAAGCAATATCAATATGTTACAGAAGATACAGTTTTAACTATGGTGCTTACTCGATTACTTTAATATTTTGTAAGGTGCAATGATCATAAATTATGAAGAGTAATACTTCTCACATGTGAATGCGAATAATATTAGTCTGTAGGATGTTCTCTGCGTCCGTAGCATTTATAAGTGTTACATGAAGTGGTCTCGCGTTTCATTGATGCTTAGAGTCCTTTCCTCGAGTGAGCCATGTAACCATCAAAGGCTCCATTTTGGAAAGTTCAAGCATTTGTTTAACTCTTCCCAGAGCATCCTATCATTTTTGTCCTAAAAAATGACGGGAAGATCAGACCTGTCTTCAAGTTCCATGGATATGAGAGAATCATCACGAACCGTTGTTGTTTTCCCAGGTTTTTCAGGTACGTTGGGGCTGAGGATCTTGTTGTTTGGACGTCCGAGCGCGTTCCCGATTCTTATGCTCTTTGCTGACCGGTTGGACATCCAAGGAGGCAGACTGAGCTGCCAAATCACCAATTGATTTCTCTACAATACATAGGATGTTCAATTTTCTAGACGGTGAAGCCTGGTTCTTCTTAACTTTGTTAACGATTTAGAACTGCCTTTTTTCAGGTTCGCTGACAACTTATTCTGCAGACCTATCAAGAGAATGATAATGTTGATCAGCAAAACCTCATGCACATGACATATACCAACCCACGATCCGACATACTGAGTCTGTTGTAAGCAGTTACTGTATGGCCTATGCACGCTTCGCGGAACCAGCCTTTGCAATGGTCACACTACATGCCAGATGTAACAGTAAAACGGCAACCGGGTCGATTGCATCAATTCTTCATAAATATGGTGACGTGCATTGTAACATTGATACCAGGAAAAGCTTGTGACCGTGAAACAAAAAAGACAGTACACTAAAAACTGATACAATGGATGAAGACGGGTGGTACAAAAGGTTAGATAAACTGAAACTAAACTGACGTGAAAAATTGAAAAACCGGATAGTGAGCTGAGGCGAAACCACAGTTAATTATTAAGTTGGGTAGAACTCAAGAATTAAAGTAATCTGTCGAACGTCAATATCAGTACAGGTTCTTTAGATCAGAAGTGGTACTTTTTTTGCGCAAGAACAAAGAAAATTTCGAGAAATGCAAATCGCCTTACAACTAAACTTCCCGTTCGCAAAATGCGTGCTTGTTAAATATGCACAGGTTCTTACCTGGAGGCATCAGTGATCAACCACTACTATATATAAAAGACTTTTGACTAAAATCCTTTTTTCTGTCCACAATTATTTATCCCATTTAATTGTCTAATCACATATGAGAAATAGCGCAACATCTGAATCCGAAGGTCATATGCGTCTGTTCTGTAGCTCTTTTGCACATTGGTACGACAAGAGTTTCCATTCCATAATACATTTAAACTCTACTGTTTTAGCAACTTCGAGCATTGTAAACTGATCTCTCGAAATTTCATCTAGTTATCAGCTAATCGGAAGACAAATGATGTAGATGAATTAATTATAATTATAATTAATGGTCGGTAATAGCATAGATTAGGGAAGAGCTTCAAACAATCTCGATGAGTTCCAAACCAGTTTTTAGTCAGCCGAAGAGTGGCTTTTGTTAAAAGGTGATTTTTAAAAATGAACACGACAATAATGTATTCCTATGATAATTATGGCGAGACTCTGACTTAGGGACGACCTTTGAACGAATCTTTAATGACCTTGACAATTATTAGCCAATCAGAAGACAGTTAGTATAGAGTGAAAATATAAGAAAGTAATGAATTACAGTGGATAGTCTTCTTTTACATGATTTAAAAACTTGTAGAGGTTCGATAACGGTTCAGAAGTCCTGAAATCATAATACCTGCGGTATAAAAACTCGTCCATGTGGCTCCATAACAGTCGTCCTCTAGAGCCGTGGTATGGTCTTAAAAATTCCTTCAGTCTCGACCACATAGCTTCAATATTATTAGTATGTACGCCGGTTGTAGGATCGACGAAATGGCGCTTGTGCACTACAACGTGATGCACATATCCAAGTCTATGTAGGCACCTATAGCCTTAAATTATAGTCTCGCCATAATTATCATAAAATTACAAACCAATTTCACGTGGCTAAAAATCGGTTTTTAAGGCGACTCTGCCTGTAAGTCGACAAAAATAGCATTTAAATTAAATCACAACAAAGAACTGAGTATTTTTTCGAACCATTCTAAGAACCTAGGTAGGTTATTAAGTCTACATTGATATTGTTTAGGGTTGAGCCCTTATGGTAGACGCAGACTACTCGGTTGGGGTCCGCGTGACTATCGTAACAAATGGTTGGAGACTCTAGGTGGCATGACTCAGAATCGATCACAATGGCTTAGGTTTATACACTCTCTATCTTCCCTTAAACTATGAGACTTAAATAGCTTCATATCGTTCTTTCTACGAACTAATTCTTTCTTTCTGTACTATATCCTTGCATAAAATCTTTTCTTTATGTGTTACACTATTGAGTTAACTGCCTCTATGATTCCGGTGTTCGTCTTGTTGTGTTAATGAGGTATAGCAACTTAGGCCGATGCATATTTGCGCCTGGTCTTACGTTGTAACTGACTGACTAACTTATGGTAATGATTAGGGGTACAGGGTTAGCGTTTCTTACCATAGATTTGGATCACCCATAATACGAAATTAGTTTCTAAACATGAATAAGTCCCGTGAAATTTCGCAAAACCTAAGGGATGTTATCTGGTTTGTCTGTCCAGTTGGTCAAGGTTTATCTGAAGATTATTTATCTGGGGATAGTGTTCATTTGCCTGTCATGTACAATATACAGAAAAAGAAATGAGGACCTAATATCTTCCACTTTTATCCCATAGCGGCAAAAATGAATTTTCGTTATCATTTAAGACATTCTGAGTACTATACAAAAATGTTTTTACTATTGGTTATACCTGATGTTTCAGTTTTAGTCAGGATCCTAAAAGTCACGTTCTTAATATCGAATTATTCATCTCTGTATTATTCTTTTGCCGAATGATCTTTTTCGGAGAACGAAACTGAATGTGTATAATTTTCGTGCAGCAGCTATATTGTTCTGACGAACGTACCTTATTCAAGATTACGGGTCATAGGTAATGAGGTAAATTCACTCAAAGCAATTTCGCTGCTCATACTATCAAATTACACTTCAATTTATTAATTCCTTTGTTTCGTGTAGTATGTGGTTGTAATCTCTATAACTAAAACTATGTTCTTGTGTCTAATTTACTTTAGATGTCTGATGGTGAATACCTTCCTGATGGTTCTTTAATTGACTTAGCTGGAGTAGACTGGAGAGACGATATATTACCCTTTGAACTCATTTTGGTCAAACCTAACTCACTTCCCGATCCAGAACCCCAACCTCTTGGTACTCAGCGGTGTTCTGAAATTCCGAATTCCGATATTTTCGATAACATTCGTTGGAATGAGCTTGATCTAGATAGCTTGCTTTCCCACCTTAATCTTCCTCCATCTGTGTAATCATTGTGTTTACCGGCTGTTAATTTCGCTAATATGACAACAACGTGGTCAAAATTAATTTCCCGGGCTGAAAAGTTAATTGGAGGTCCCTCACCATATATTAATTTAGGGAATATATTATCTTCTGAAGCTGGTTCTTTAGCATCGCGAGCTCGACGACTGGCAGGAAATGTTAACCATCCATTTTTCTCAACCGTGCGCTCATGTCTTCGAGGCAGATATGTTAACAACTTATTTTCTATTTCCTCTGCTATATCAGATCGTTTTTCAAAATCTGTAACATCTGAACGTCCCTCTGGTGGGCTGATTATACTTCTGGTTGGCCAGTCATATGCTAGTCCCACAAACTCAACAAAATTGTGTGGTCAGCATCGTAGTATCTCGGAAATATTCGAGACTGTTCATACTGCAGTAGCTATTCATAAGTAAGTAGATTTTCATACATTATGAAGTTCATGTCAACAAAAAACATAATAGAAGTGAGTATTATAAGGTTGATTTCCCATGCAATTATAACTATATAACTGCTTAAAATATTAATCACTCGGTTCATAAAATAATATATCATGTAAAAAGTGTTCAAAGGTTATGACTACAAGTTTTACTCAGCGTAACGCATCGACTTCACAAGCAACCGTTGCGTTTAGAATTCAAATCAACACGCAAATTTAGGCAACTCCATCTCTCCATATTCCAGTTAAGATCATTAGAGATTAATCATGTGATAAATGCGAATCATGGTCATTAGGCATTTTAATGTGTTTATATACAAAAGAATAAAGTGCTTTTTAGTAAACTAGTGGTCATTGTGTGGTAGGGTTATATTAACGTAACTGCTCTTTTTATTCCTTATATAAAGTTCAACCCAATACCAAAGTCTATGTCCATTTGCTCAGCTTTGTTGTATTCTAGTTCTTAAAATTAATGTTACAAAGCTATAGATTAGTGACCATAAAATTCAGTGGTCACAGGTTTCAATTTCGCTTTACTTAATTTAGACAGTTGGATAGTATCACTCACTAGTCTATGAAGTCATTGACAATTGAGCCGAGTCATGTTAACTGGTGTAGACTGCCTGGTTGAAGTCTGCGTGTTCATCATAACCAGTGGTTAGGGACCTTGAATGATATAGTTTAGAATGATGTAGGTGCACCTATTCTTTGTCTTTCCCTAAATTCTCAGTTTCTCATAACTTTTATTGTTTTTATCTTACTGATTTATATTTCCTTGAATAATATATTCGGTGCCTGATCTTTTCTGTTACCTCTGATATTATTACTGCCTCTACTATTCTGGTGTTCGGTCTGACAATCTAATCTCTCTGTGCTAATGGGGTATGACACTTTGAACCGATGTTCCCACGTAACAGGTTCTACGTTGCAGTTGACTAACTTTTTGCTACTAATAACCAACTGACAAGCAAAATTAATTGTTTTCAAGTATTACAACATGATCCTCGCATTTTCTACATATTAATTTTCTCTTTGTTTGTTCTGTAGAAGTTTAGTCAATTTAAATGATTTGAATCAAAACACCGATGATAATGAAACATGGTTGAAAAACATGGAAATCTGCAATAAATTGGCAACCTTATCTGGAGATGTTCTACTTGCATCTGTCTCTACCAGCTTGGCTGGATTGCATCACGCTAATGTACGGCGATTTGAATAAATTATTATACATATATCATAGTAATAAAAAGGATATATAAGAAAAAGTTTGTTTAATTGGTTTCAACTGTGTTCCCTAGTATAATCATAAAGACTTCCGACTACTGACTCCCAGATTCGAACTCCGCCTCTCCTACTACGGTTTCGACAACCAGAGTAGTACGATTAGCCGTCAAAATTAGTGTGTGGCTCGTACCCAAGCACATAATGAATGACTTTATTCATTTTATGATTATTCATTATAAAGAAGTAAACATAAGAACATGGCTTTCAGTGTTCATTAAATCTTAGTTCATTAGTTATCCCGTCACAGTATGCATTTACTACTTGGGAATTTTAATAATATTCAAAAATCGGCTCATAAAGAAATATTTATAAATAATAGCAAATATAGTGATGCATTTTGTATATGCCAACAATGAATTCCCATAACAGAATCTTAATCTTAGGTAACTAGTGTCTGATATCTATCCGGACAATCTTGCAATTTATAAATGTAAGTTTAAAGCCTAATATCTAATCAAAATGTGAACAGTCCATAAAAGATAACAGTAATGCAAGATTATTGCAGGTTAGATAACTACAACGGGAGCTGATACATGTCATACTTCAAACATATATATATATATATATATATATATATATATATATATATATATATATATATATATATATATATATATATGACCGCCATCCGGATAGTTTTTTTGAAGTACTTCGTTCTGTTTTGAAAATAACTAATACTAGGTTGTCGGTGTCGTGTCCGAAGCAATTGGAAATATGATGGAGGCTGAATTTCACGAGTTAGCTACCAATTTAAATGTATCAAATACCAATAATTACAGTCATCATGTTGAAAGTAGTATTGATGTCAATTCAACTATAACGTCTAATGAAATATATGACCTATCGAAAGAAAAATGGCTTTCTTTTGTACAATTATCACGTGGTGCTCTTTTGGGAAGTTGTTGCGAAGCTGCTTTAATTCTTACCAAAAACCATATATCTAATCTGTCTATTACACCAACAAATAAAATATATCCAGATTGGGATAATTTTTTCTCCATTGCAAATCATTTTGGATCAACATGGGCTTGTTTAATACGGTTGACTGAAGAGAGGGAACATATTCAGCGTACTTGGGTAAGGATTTATTATTTTGTAATCAAATTTTAGGAAAACGTTTTCCTAGTATTCAATACCTTTTTTAATTTGTGTATACATTTACGCTGAATGATTTCATTGTTGAGCTGTACAATCGTAGTATACGAACTTGTAAATACTTATTTCTTGAGGACATATGAACAATTAATAAACAGAATGATGCAATAGAAAGGTTATAATACTAGATTACGTAGTGTACACAATAAAATATTGTGTGTAGGTAAAAATCCTTGTGAGATTAATACGCTAACAACGGATTATGATGTGAACGATGTAAGATAATTAAAAAGATTCGTATACCGTAACCGGAGTTTGCTTTCAAATTGGTTACGAGAACGTGTTCCAGTGTGGTTTCACAAAAATGAGAGAAAAGCAGTTGGTAGTTCTATTGCTGAACATTCAATCAATTCTAGTCACTCCACTGATTCATTGAATTATTTTAAGATGACGTACAGAATTCGCTCAAATCTACCAAGTTTTCTTCATATTCAACTCTTTAAAACAGCCGAATCTCTTGTCGTTCACGAGATGAAGCTAGAACTATGAGTACAAATAAAGTACGTCCTATCTTTATGATGATCATGAACTTTTACCACTGTTATCATTATATTTCGTATTTGGAAATATTCCCCTCTTTAATTATTCCCCATGATTTTATTTGTAATTGTTTCTGATATCACTTCATTTTATTCAACCTATCTATTACCTTTAATTATTGTGACAAGAACATTTTAATCACCTTACTCCATTCACATTAGAATCCATTGTTAACGTATTAATTTTATAAGGACTTTTACCTGCACATGCACGTAATATTTTATTGCTATTATGTACACTACGTAATTTAGTATTATAGCCTTTATATTACATCATCATGTTTATTCAATGTCCTCATGGAATTATATATATATATATAAATTCGCTGAACTTCGTGTTTTTAATTATTACATTGTAGAAAATTTGCAAAGATAACTAGTCTTAGATGGTCAACTGTATTCGTACCCTGTTTTATTGATAATAAGCAATTATTATATTCTTGTCCCTTATACTAATAAAAACTAATTGGTCCAAACATCATAAATGTATGTGAGCAGATGTTCAGACTGAAACAGGTTGTTTTCCAACCTGTTTGGTTATAAGACTGTATGAAAGCGAGAAGCCGACAGGGGGACGATGTTGTTTCGTCATCTCAGCTTCGCGCCGCCACAAGTTGTGATTCAGATCGAATCAAGGATGAGTTCTACTGCTTATTAAATTATCTCGACATTGCACGTTCGGGAGACATAGTTGTATTGGCTGGGGACGTGAATAAGCAGAGGAGAGTCGTTTGAAAATCCATTGTGAACTAGATGGTGACGGGCTAAATAATTGTGAAGGCTTTGTGCAACCTTGTGCAAAACAATCTATTTCTGTCGAACACAATCACCAGTCACCAGTGATTTGGTACGTGACATTCTCTGTCTGCAACTCAAGGATACTCTCAGATTAATCATGTTTCGATTGGCTACATCTGAAGTGGATAGATGTAAGAGTACTGATCCTGTTTTGGTATTTATCTGCATTCTTCCCATACCCTGGTAAACATCATATTTATCTAGATTTTCGTGACCACTGAACATCGTTCTAAATGGAGTGATAAGAGAAAATTGACTAAATCTTCAGTTCGATCCGATATCAAACTTAGTTAGGCTAGTCAACGTTCTTTTAAAGTTGGAAAACAACTAAATAAAATATGTATGGTGTTCTAATGACTTACCTACAAACTAGTGAAATATTTATGAAGTTTATGTATTCGACTATAAGCTTTTAGCATAGGGATTAGTAGTAATATTAACTAGCCCATCTAAACTGAGAAATATGGAACATGATTCAAATATGCGATTGGTTGGTTTAACTCTGTGTACTTTAATAGGTGACTGCTAATCATATTTTATTAACAAACGTCTGAATCATATGTGTGTATGGTTTACGACTAAAACTCTGCTAACACCATAATTAATAAGATGTCGATATCCATATTTTTTTCATTAAAATGAATTTTCGTAATTATGCTTTGTTACTATTATTTGTTTTTCTACTTTAAGTCTACCAATCAAACCACTGATGCATATTGGTCTATAAAAAAGGAAATGCAATATATGAAAAACAATATGTATGGGTATCAATCAGTTATTCCATCTTATTCAGAATATGGTTTGAATGAACCAACATTTGCAGATGCTCTGCTACTCTCTTTATCTTCATCAAAAATGGATTATAAACTCATCGATATTCTTGATGAAGTGCTGTCAGAATATAATAGAATCGGACGTGAATTAGCTCAGAAATTACGTGAATATTTCAATCAGATTGTTTTCAATGCAGAACAATTCAATATTATTAGTGATAACATTAATTCTATTCATATAAAAGACACTAGTAATTGTTCACCTGGTATACAGTTGTTAGGTGAAATGGTAGACAAACTTATCAGTGATTGTAATTGTTCTCCATGAAAAGTTGAGTAGAAAAACTGTAATACAAACAAACAATCATAATTCTACTAGTTCTCCTCTGCAGTTTCCGTTCGGTATATATATATATATATATATATATATATATATGTGTGCTTGGTTGAAAGGCGAATATCACTTATGATGGTATATCTTTACCATTTTCATGACTGACAGAAATATGAATTCACGGCACGGTGTAACATAGGTTTTGAAGTGGTGTCGAACGATATAAACAAAAAGAACTAAAGAAGAATTACAACTGGTCATTCAAGAACATGCCATGTTTTTGATTCCTTCCAACCTGTCCCTAAACCAAGCATCGTCGCACGCTGAGGTTTTCGGTCGATGAGCATGCGTAACATACGTCCTAACCATCCCAAGCGATAAAGACTGACTACTTTATCAATCGGTTTGTCATGTGTACCTAATTTCTTATGTCTAACCAATGTGGAGTCACTGAATGTCGGACAGGTCTCCAATCCCTGTCAAGGGCAACCAACGCGCATCAGTTAATCATACGCCATGGACTGGCTCATGCGTTTGTGGCCACACTTTTGCTTGTACCTACTTAATATATTTCTGTAATGACGTCCTTTGTGTTGTACGGTCTTCAAAGCATCCATAGTACCTTGGTACGACGAAAGAGTGATCCACGTTAAGTGCTAAACGCCAGGTGTGACTTCGACGTTAACTTTCGGTCACAAAATTCCCGTCTAGCTCGAGTAGGCCTCCAATTATTCGACAAAGGTCATCGATGTCGATGATTTACACCAACTTTAGTCAGGCCATACACGAGGAATACTTTAAAGGCATCTACGGTCGAGTACTAGTAATATGGTGATCTCCTCTGTTCTAAAAGGTCACGTTCCACAAGTTTAATGTGGGAGGGTGCCAAGCATCGGTCAATATACTCATTCTTTATTTGCGAGAGGAACGGCCACCATACGTCACAGGTTATGCAAGTTAGCAAACATCAACCGGGCTTTCAAAATTCATGCCGAGATTTCTCCAAACACCAAATCATGACGGGTAGTGAGACTTTTTAAACAATTTAAGTGATCGACATACTCAAGAACTTCGCTAATTATCATTTGTTTGGACGTTGGAGTAAATTATTCTTCAAGTGACATTTTGGAGGAGAAGAAGTAGGTCTCAAACACGCTAGCACTATTGATCGGGAAGATCAGGGGACTTTGAATATTGTCAGAGTAGAAGTATATCCTCTGGGTATTCTTTATTGATAAGTGAATATCCTAGCAGATAAAGTACTGAGAGATAATTCCTAGTACATCTTCAGTTGCTGGTTCTGACGTTAGTAATGTTATACCCGATGAGGATAATGGATGGCAACTTCTGGAATATATTTCTGGACTATTATTATGCATATATTTTTATTGTATAATTGTTAAGTAACTAAACTGCTCATATTCGTGTTCCTCTTATTATAAGCATTATATTGACCCATGAACTATTATTATACGATTTACCATTTACTATCTCCCACGTTCACAACCAATGTCGGCTAAATCCTGTATAGATGCTATTTTCTATTTTACCCTGTGATGTAGTCTGTTTGGCTTGCATATATACTTAGTATGTTTGAAATAACCGATTCATGTAGCAGAGGCTGAGATTCGTGTTCTGAACTCGACAGACAGGGCTAGGCAAGAAGAAGAACCGATAAAGATCTTAGACTGATCGTACAGGTTTTATGTGTCATTTGTCCTGTTGACAAATCAGTGTTCTCTAATTGGAGGTATCATTACGTTATATATCAATAAAGCACAAGACCACAAGTTATAACAAGTAATACTAGTGAACTCAGTAACAAATATCATATTAGTGAATTTGTGGAATCTACCCAAATTTGAAAAATTGATAAGTACAGCCATACAGTGGTATGATACGATCTCCAGAAGGTAGGAATAAAATAAGTTAATGAGGAATCAGGTTATACTGGAGGTCCGTTTGACAGTTTTGAACATATATATGTTATATCTAGAACTTAGATTCCTAACATACCGCGTATTACATGAGCGACCAGAACCCACCAAGTCACAAATGTGGAAAGAGAAGACAGGTGAAAGGAATGCTATTTCAAACAGTGTCAATTATCGTTCAAAACTGTCAGGTATGTGGCGGTAAATAAATCCCCAAAATAAATAGCTCTGTAAGTTTCCGACATTGGATACTGATCACATGTTTTAATGGACTCACCTAGCTGAAGGTGCTCGGTCATGCATCCGCACCAGATCACGTGTGGGAACGCCGTGCCCAACATCTACTGCAACCGCTAGCCAGATTAGGTCAGACGATTCTCGATATATTGATATCACATCAAATATATCTTCCGATCTCCTGGATTCTGTCTTTTGATTTCTCTTGGTGTGTGCGCTTCATATTAGGTGATGCTGGTTAAAGCGTTGTCAAACACTGGATACCTGTGCCATCTTCAGGTATTTATAGTCTAGTAAAAAGGAAATCATCATTATAGTCCTTCAATTCGCATACAGGGGACTATTAGCATTTGTCCAACAGGGAAACTACACGTAAGTATTCTGAAATATTCCTCCAAAAGACGATTGGGTGAAATGTCTTCAGCTTTTTTTGAGCTTTCTCGAGTTGACTAGTGGGCCTTCTTCACAATATACCCTTGAGAATGTCATTTGGCAAACAATGAACACAGTATCTCACACACCAATGTGAGCGTAAAGAATGGGATGTTTTTCAAGAGTTCTGCGTTTTTGAAATCATCAAAAGTCTTTCCAAACGACTAAATAGTTGAAACTGGGATTATCAAGGTTTACGAAGGCACGACATGATAAACTAAGCGAGTTTTCTTACATTCTGTCGACTTGTCAACAACCTATACGGCATTTTCACGACGGTAGTAGATGTAAGATAGCAAGTCAGGGCTAAAGATATAAAACCAGCCAGTTAAGGCAATGTGCAAGAATTGATACACGTGCCAAGCTCACCATATGTGCGAGAAATGATGGAGTTCATCTCGTCTACTTTTCTGATGGATTTAAGTTTATGCAGTTGCTCAAACCAGTGTCTATCTGGATTCAGTAGCTAAGTGGACAATGTGATAACATTTGAAGCATATAGTACTAGACCCTAGTCGCAGACAGAACATTAACTCTCGAAAACAGTCACATCCAGCTGATTAATCCCATAGGACGGAAAGCGTGTTATGGATACAACTGCTAGTCAACATCCATCTCTTCCCAGCATAAGTTGTTTGTTCATTTGCATTTCTATGTAAATTGATTTTCTGTTCGTTATTCTTTTTCTACAGTAACATTTTAGTAGTACTGTGATGATGAGAAGTAATTAAATTATTATACAAACTCAGAATCTCAGAAATTACGCGAATTTGACTCAAGAGAATTAGGTGAGCACAAACGAACGTGTCATATTTGAAGTTTGAAATCAGTCATTCATCAAGTACTAATGAATCACTAATTCATACAAACACCATGTCGGCCACGACTTAAATGAGAACCCGAATTTCTGCAATCAATTGTACTTCTCCTTATGTTCATCCTGTGTATCTCCGACTGTGTATTCGATGTAGATTCTGTATGATCCAGAATATACTAATTAGTATTAGAATTAAAGACTGAAATTGGAATGAACTCACCTGGGTCCGAGAATTATATATATTCAACACGTCGCTTGTGTGCTGAAATCACTGGTAACTAGGTTTTGAACCATGGACTTTCTAAGATTATCCTACCCCACAAAATAGTGTAGGGTCGCAATGTCATGACCAATTTGACGTTCCAGACTTGTATTATCTTCATATATCTCACACTTCAAATATTACATGTGAGTATTTAGGGATACATACTGACTTATAATTTGAGGCATTTCATCATGTGACTTTGACCTGCATAAAAATGTGATACATATTCATTTGCATTTCAAGCTGGAATGCACAAGGCCATTGTTTCAGATACCAGTGTAGCGGTAAATAAATCCCCAAAATAAATAGCTCTAAGTTTTGGACAATGGATGCTGACCATATGTTTTAGTGGACTCATCTAGCTGAAGGCGCTCGGTCATACATCCGCACCAGATCACGTGTGGTAACGCCGTGCTCAACATCTACCGCAATCGCTAGCCAGATTAGATCAGAGAATCCGATATATTGGTCATCGACAAATATAGTCTTCCGATCTCCCCGATTCTGTCTTTTGATTTCTCTGGGTGGGAACGAAATATTTTAGAAGGTGTTACTGGTTAAAGCGTTGTCAAACACTGAATACCTGTGACATCATCACCAGATAAAAATGTATTGACATGTGTAGTTAACACATGTGATTCATCTAGGCTTCATTTACCAGCAAAACATTCTAATGGAAAATTTGCACCTCCTTCATACTCATTAAGATAATCTTGGAGTCGGTTTGAGTTTTCTGCCTATGCAAACTTCATATCTGGATAAATTGGTTCTCTAACTGCTCCGGGAAAACCTGCTATTTACTCTGCATTCATCATAACACAGTATAGGGACTCTAATAGACATACACTGGTCGTGAGAATATCCAGCATCCGATACAATAACATCCTAAATGTGACCGGAATTCGACTCATTCGGAACATATTTGTCCCACTCATTAGTGATATCACTATAGATAAACCCATTATGAGGACAAGCAACATCTTATGCGACTCCATAAGGACCGTAATCAGAATTTAACTCATTTCGAACATGATTCTCACAGTTAACTGAGATTTCATTAGAGAAAAATGAATAATTATGGCAAACCACATCTGATAAAATAACATAATAATTTTGGTCTGGATTTGATGCACTCGGTTCATCTTCCACACATTTGCAAATAATTTCATTAGAAATACATAAATTATGAGAACAATGTAATCTGGTAAAACGGTATCACGAATCAGATCAGAGTATGATCCACTTGAAACATTCAACTTAATAGGGTTAGGATTACAAAGTTTAGGGTTAGTTGCAGTAAAATAAACAGTAGTATTACAGACTGACTCAATGTATCAAATGTTATCACATTTAAAGCATTTAATAGTATGAAATACACTTGAATTTTATTGGTGAAATTTATCACAGAACAAACATCTAAGCTTGTGTTTCAATTCACATCCTCAGCTCAGGAATTTTGGGCAAATTCTTGACAAACTGAGTGGACTCGATCCATGGTGGCTACTCAAGAAATGAACTTCTGCGTAACATTTATTACATACCAGCTATTATTTAATTTTCGTTCAATCAACTTAGCATAATAAGCACATTTGGGTCAACTGATACACTAACACTTGCAACAATGAAGAAATCAAGCCAGACTGAACGCTGGACAAAATGACATCGTTTACGAGAAAATGAGAAGTAAACAGAAAATTCGAGTTCAATATACCTCTTTTTCGTATAAGCAAGTTTAAGCTGGGCTTATGACTAGAGTTTTGTACCCGAAGTATTTGAGGTCAGAAAATAAGATGTGATGAATTTCTGATATACTCATTCCCAGTTTTTTGGTGATGTCTTTAAAGTTACTTCAAGAGATGATTAGGTATTTCGTTTTATTTTCGTAGTCGGAATATTAACCTCGTAGTTTTATAACAACCTAGTGCAAAGTTACTACTTTACAAGTTTATTATGAGCCCACGATCTGACTCCAGTTTGGAAGAATCAATGAATATGTCACAAACATAAATCTTTCATTTAATTTCTCACACTAAATCTAGGTTAACTCTGTTTGAGTGATAGTGGTAATACAACCGTGAACTTGTATTGGACAGACGGAATTTATCTCAGATGGACGCCAAAATTACAAACAGGAAAGCGAAGTGAAGAAAGTGAACGTGCTGGTCCGCCTATGATACTCAACGCAGGAGTTAAGATAGTTCAGAAACAGATAATACGTAGTATGAAAAAATGACGGGGGTCAGATAAAACAGTGAGTGACAGATTTACACAAAAAGGTCGTAAATGTGTGAAAATACAAGGATATGAATATAAGACGTGTTGAAGGACATAGTAGTTCAGCGTTGTCTGTATTATCAACTTTAGTTCGAAAGATAAGGTGATTCATATAAAGCCACAGCAGTATTAGACATTATAGTTTCTTTGAGGATTGTGTCAGATTCAGAGACGAATGTATCTTATTGTTTCATTGATTGAATAATGCAGTTAAAGTAGATTTAGAATTACAAAAAGATGAAATCTGAGTAATCGCGATAAAATGTGAGTAAGAAGCATACAAATTATAAAAATTCATGGTAAATGATCGAATTTTACCCTAGTGAGCAGAAGTTTCATTCAAGAAATAACTCGGCAAAAATGACCGGGAACATCAAATTCATCATCTCACTCATAATTCATCAGATAAATGAAATGGACACAGATCACGCCATCAGTGCGAGACCTAGATTGATAGAGAGTATATTTCCAGGTGGAACATCAAACCAGAACACCTGGTATCATCTTGATCAGTGAAAGCACTCGTGGAGGAAACGGATCATTACAAAAAAGTACAACTTCATACTATATAGACCTACCAACTTTCTATACGACTACAAAATGGCATTGAGAATTGAAACTGAGATACGTCAGAGTTTTGTTCTCTAAGATAAGTTATCTGGTCTTAGAGTTTTCACTGTTTTTTTAATAACACCATCAGCTCAAACTTTAAATAGAAGTGAAGTGTTCGAATTTATCTACATATGACTCACAGCCCTATGAAGAGCGACTTCAAGCCTTATGAAGAGCGTCTCCACCCACTAAACCTTTATTCATTAGAGTACAGGCATCTTAGAGGTGATCATCTGATGGCTTGCAGCATCCTTAACACTTCTGGACATCCCCTCAAACACTTACTTAAATTTAGCCTCAACACAAACCTAAGGGGTAACACTTAGAAACTGGAGACACAACACAACCGAACGAACTGTAGACACAACTTGCACTCCTTAAGAGAGGTCAAATGCTGAAATTCGCTGCCGGCTGAGTTAGTCCAAGCGACTTCCCAGGAGTCCTTCAAGAGGAAACTTGATATATTCTTAAGTACTAATGGTGGTATCTTACTATGATTTACCAATTTCTTTTTCCTCTATTATCGTCAACATGCTTAGGTTCCAGCCTGGAGGAATTGGTGATCCACTGCTACTAGACACGGAAGCCCGTTAAGCGAAAGCTTCTTCTATTCCTTTCATAACCATTTGAACCATTTGAGCTATGACTTGACCTAGACGGCGAATTTCATTCTTAAGGTCGTTAGACATGCACAAGGTGGCATCTGAATTTGCGGTCTCAAATGGTATACTTACATAAATAGCTTGACGGTCTATAGGAATTCTTAAGGTGGTCGACGGAAACCCATCTCTTTTATCATGTACACTTTTACCATCTCCCGTACCAAAAGTATTACTATGTCGTGCTCAATCAATCCAACGTGATTTTAACTTGTTATATCACAGGGTTGCAATGAATCATGAATTTCTGTATGATGTGTTGAAGCCGTGAGTTTTTTTTATCAAATTTCCGAATTTTCAGCGTTCTTGCTGTTGACCCTTATCTTCGCTCATTATGGGGTATATATTCACGAATTCGAACTAACGAAATTACTCAGGTAAAGAAATTTTGTTTGAAATCGATTACACAGATTTCATGTATCCCGAAAGTCTGCCGATCCCTGCTTAGAGTTTTATAACTGTTTAGACTTCTGAAATATTACTCGGTAGACTTCTCAGGTAGCGTGCACTGCACGATACATGCTTAAACGATAAAAAATCTTAGTATTATTTGCCCGTTCTTGCTTTAACATTTACTCAAGACGTTCTGCACTCCGAACACCAAATATGGGGGAATAAAGAGGAACCTTAGAGAAATTCTGTGGAAAATGTTCAAATCGGTATGAATGTAGCCGACAATCCATCAAATCTTCGCCTCTTTCTTAGCCCAAGGTAAAATTGCTGCTGTTCTTCATTTAAGTGAAGTGTCTTGGAACAAGACCTTTCTAATTGCTTGATTTGATTTGTAACTTGTGCCTGTTAGACCTCATGGAACATAGGCTACCTACCATTATTCTCCAACCAACCTTGTCCTTTCTATTCCTTTTCGGTCACTAACTGCTATTATTTCTTTTGACTTATTCCTTCTATTTCCAACTCATTTTTTGGTCCATCTCTTGTCCGATGAACAAGGAGGATCGAATGAACACGTAAAGTCGAGGATTGGCAAATCAAGGGCCGTATCCCTACAATTGAATAACACATGGAATTCAGAACAACTGTCAATCATTATCAAAGTGAGGATTTTCGGTACAAACGTCACGACAGTTCTACTGCACGGAGCTGAAGCTTGGAGAACTACAAAAATCATCGAAAAGGTACAAATATTTATGTACAGTTGACTACATAATATACTGAATGTCCGTTGGTCCGATACCATCAGCAACATCCTACCATGAGAGAGAGGACAAACCAGCTTCCATCTGAGGAGTAAATTAGAAAAAGACACTGGAAGTTGATTGGACACATTGAAGAAATCATCAAACTACAACATGAGGCAAACGCTAACTTGGAATCCTGTAGGGAAAGGGATAAGAGGAAGACCTAAGAACACACCGTCAGTAGTTTGAAACAGACATAAATAGGATGAATAGCAACTGGAAAGGATTGCACAGGACAGAACTGGATGTAGAATGCTTGTGGGTTTCCTACGCTCCTCCATGGGGGGTAACAGGTGTAAGTAAGTTTTGTCCATTTGCTTTGAGGTTTCCAAGTAAGGGCTTACCTTGTAATGCAGCTTGATAGTTTCCGCTATGTGTGCTCTATCCACATACAGCATTTTTTCCTGACTTGTTCTGCAACTGGAAGCTGTTTTGTTCCCCACCACAGTAGGTCATTTCTGATGGTGTCCGGACAATAGATCTGAAGTATCTTGAGTAGACAAGTTTTTATAAATACATGTGCTTTTCTGATGTTGGTCGTAACTGTTCTCCAAGTTTCAGCACCATACAGTAGAACTGTTTTGATATTCGTATTGAGAATTCTGATTTTGATGTTGGATGACACTTGTTTTGAATTCCAGATTTTCTTCAATTGTATAGGCAATCTTTTTACTTTGTCAATCTTTGTCTTTACATCCACATCAGATCTCCCTTGTCTATCAGTCGCACTGTCTATGTACGTAAAAGCTACCATTTCTTCTAGAGTTGCGCTAACAAGTGTGATTTGTTGATGTTCGTTGTGTTTAATGTTAAGATACTGGACTTTGCTTCATGTATGTTGAGGTATTCTGCTGCAGAGGCTGCTGTTGTACTGTATATTTTCATCTGAACTTGTTGCTGTGTATGAGAAAGAAGAGTCAGGATATGTACGAATTCTAAATCGTCCAGTTGCATCAAAGGTGTTCACTGTATACCATGCTTCCTGTAAGATGTGGAGGTCTTCATAAGCCAGCCAAGCATCAGAAAGAAGAGAAAAGGGGAGTGTAAGCAGCCTTGTCTGACACCGGTCTTCACTTGGAATGCACCTGCGAGCTGTCCTCTATACACCACTTTTCAGTGTAGTCCGTCGTAAGAATTCCGTATGACGGTGACAATCTCAGGTACTTTATAGTGTCGTTAAAGATTCCACACGGTCCTCCTGTCCATACTGTCAAATGCTTTCTCATAGTTGAGGAAGTTAACGTGTATCGATGAGTCCCATTCAGTCGATTACTCGACAGTGATCCGTGCTTGATACCGACAATATCCTTGGAATTTACCCCATCACGTACATCCTACATAAACAACACCACGTTCCTCGAGACAACCATCGAAAGATTACAGATCAAAGAACGAAAACCCAGGTACGCTCTTTCTTTTTTCATTAAGAGTTGCCCCTATTGGTAGTGTTCTCCCAACCGAAGTGACCATAGCCCCCTCAGTGAATGGCTTCAAGAGAAGACTTGGCAAACACGTACTCATCCATGGATTACCATCCCCTCTTGAAACATTTGTGTCGGATGCGTGTCTCGTAACTTGCATACTGTTGTCATTATCTCATCATTAACTTGTTTCTATTTCGCTTGTTATCATCTCCACTTCCTCTATTATTCCTACACTTCTGTATTCTCATAATATGTGCACTGCCAATCAATTTTTCTTCTGACCCTAATGTTTCTGATTACTGCTAATACTCTTACTACCTCTACCACTACGGGATTTGAATCGACAACTAGATCTCTGTGCTAATGTGGTATGGCAACTCGAACTGATGTACATACGTACGAAGTTCTACGTTGTCACTGACTGACTGAGTATCCGAATTATCACTTATTTTTCACATTGCAACCAACGAGCATCCTGTATGTTAATGTGAATAGTCCTGGTATCCATAATCCCTACTATCCTGAGATAAATACACTGATAATTATAAATAGTCAAAATGATTTGCTAAGCAGGAACTGTCAGAATAGTGCCATTTAAGACAGATGGAACTCGATGAGTATAAATGAACGCATTCTGTTTGGACTTCGAATTGGCAGCGGCATAAACTATGAAGGAGTCATCAATTAGTACAAATACCGTATTTCTCCACTCAATAAGTTCATTTTAGTTTACTATCATTACCTTATCTAATATTTTCTTCATTCAGCTTGCCTTTCAGTTTTGATGATATTTCACACAATCTCATAGTTGCCTGCTTATCAAACTGATCTCAGTTTACAATTTTGAGATCGATCACTTCTCTCTATAGCCCTAATAAGAGTGTATTGAATTAAATGTCTATCATTTCTACCTTATTCAGCATACTTTAGTAGCATTAGCCCCGAATCTAAAAAGCGTTTTTTTTTGTTTGCAGAATGATTATTGGTTAACTTATAAAGCACTATCTCGGTAAATATGTAATAATTAGTCAGATTTAAATGGTTTTCAACTTTCATTTGCAAGTCTGATAAAAATATTGTCTAAATTGAGTTTACTCTAATTCTGTTTTCTACTAATCAGAATAATCATTTATTTATTGATTAAGGCTTTATGTAATTTACAAGGCATCAGTGCAACAATTTTCTCTTAAGCTGAAAGTTGGTTTGATCTATTATATTCGACTATCTCTGTCTCTGGCCAGTAAATCTTGGTTAGATATCTCTATAAATACCTTTACCTTTTTGATGATAGTTGTATACATTTTCCAAGTTGCAACTCCACAACATAAAACACCCTTACCTTTTACAAATTGTTTGCTCTTCCCTAAAATTAACAGCGAATTGTCTACTTCCCTCCAATATTAACATGTCAAATAGTCAACTTTTTGCAAAACCTAACGGACTAGTTTACTACCGCTCGTCTTTAATATCTTAAAAGAATCAAGTTATCTTCTCACTCAAACAGTGGTTTATGTGAAAACAATTTCTAAACATGTTTTACATAAAGTTGTCAATGTTTACATGGGGGTGACGGTTAAACGTCAACACTTTAACTTGGCGAAAAAAGTTATCTCCATTCCATGATCTAAAAAAAGCAGTTAATGCATAGTTTACGCATGTTTATTCAGAAAGCTTTTTAGTTTAGACGAAATAAAAATGCATACCAACGTTTACCTGCTACATCTGGTTCGTTCCAACACATTTGACGCACGTGAGAATGTTAATGATTTCTTAAAAATGATCAATTTGTCAAAAAAGGATAGCATTGTAGAAAATGGACGAAATAATAGCGCTGTCAGTGATAAGCAGCGTTTTCGTCACTTTGATTCTGAAGTGTCACAGCTGTAGACAGTTCAGATGTGGTTTTGTAAAATGCTCGTTACAAATTCGTTCTAGAATAAGGTAAGACTTATTGTGATATTTCAAAGAGCGGATTCCGGGTTTAAAGTTGAATGGAAGTTGCGATCATAGCGTGAGAACTTAGTAAATTTATAATTTATACACAAGAATATTCTTGAGTTTTTATTCATTTTTTAGCCCAATCGGCTAAAAATGAATAAATCAATGTGCTTCAACATCATCCTGCATGGAACATATATTAATACAATATATGTCCTGTTGAAACCTCTCTTTTGAGCAGATTAGTGGGACATAGCGTTGTGGTCCGCTCGCATCCGCGTTCCTTGCTTTTGAGCTGTCTACCTTCTAGGCAGTCAAAAAATAGTATCACTCTTCGTTCGCGCAGAGACTGGGTTGGCCGTTTCCGGGGGCTTGATTTCAAAAGTGTCTAATAGAATAATATGAGGTATTTCACATCGGTTCTCAAAGTTGCTTTCAGGTGGTCATCATGGTGTAACCAAACTTCTGAGCCGACTACTACCTCATTAACGAGATTTCCTTTCCTTTGCATGATTCGATCGACTATCCCTGTAGGATGTTCATAGCCAGTACTTTTTGACCCATAGTGAACAATCGACATTATGGGGCAAAAAGACTCACATGAGTTGAAAGCTGAATTTTCTCCATATCTATTCATTAGCTATATTATTACTGCCAAATGTGTGTTTTATGGCAGTAAAACTTCGATTTAAACATGACTTACTAGGTCTGAAAATTACATTCCAAATTTTGTCAACAGAGACGTTTGTACCTAGTCTTTACCTCGTTTGTAAACCCAAAGAAGTTACCCTCGAACTTTGTTTTTTATTCCTTTTCTCAGGATATAGTGTTAGGACTGAACCGATCCGATTATATGCTTCATGTACAAGGAGATTTATGCGATACTAAACGGACTTCTCTTGCGAACCGGTTACAAAGTACAGTAGTAGCCGCTCAATCTGATATTGAGACTCAAGATGAAGCTTGGGATGGTTTGTTGATTCGACAAGTTGAATTCAATATGATTGCATGTAGCTTTTGTGGTCTTGCTCAGCGTATTGTTCCACAACATCGTATTTCCTTATCTTTGCATGGAATTTCAAGCGATTTAAATAATCGTGTAAGTTGAGAATAATTTTATTAACCTCATTGTTATTATATATGATCTCAGTCATTTTTGAGAGTATAATTCCTTGCATAATAAAATGGATGTTTATTTTAGATTTTTTCGTGAATCATATACTTTTCCCAAAAGCTGTTCATGTTTTTGCAATTCTACTGCCTTTTGACGGACTGGTCTGTGTCTTTATGTTGGGGGTGCTTTCAAAAGTCAGACTTGTTCAATAAACTCTTGAGTTCATCTGGTATCACTTTATTTTTTACGGTTAGATTTTCGTCTAGTTCAGCAAATCCTAATATTTGTTTCATATGCAAAAAATCATTCTATGTAATGATTTATCTTATTGACTTATTTGGGCAATTTAAAAATTAGGATTGTAGTTTATTTCCAGAAGACTACATTACGTAATAGCAACAAGTGGTATCCAAAGTTAAAATTATATGAAATCCGAAATCATTGTTTATATGTATATTATCTGACGGATATCATTTACTTGAGATCATAGTTTTTTAATGGCTTATAATACTGAACAATAATTTTATTGAACTGATCTATACATTGACTTAAACAATCCGGAATATACACTTTATCAAATGGTTATTTCTTTTCGTATATATTTAAGCGCCTTAGGACTTAGAATGTATTTATATGGTTTCGGACTATGGCGCTATCATACAAATGATATAAATTTAATGTATTGAAAATTTCATTCATGTCATCAATCTTACATTTAGGTACCTGATTGCTTTTCTGCTGATAGATTTAGCGAAGCTTTATTATCTGCTTGTCGTATGTATGTCGAAGATTGCTCTAAAAGAAATTTAATCACGTCAAACATATCTATTCTTGTAGTTGTTGGTAAGAATGAAAAAAATATTTATGATCAACGAGCATTGATTGGTTGTCTTCTACTGAAAAATCCTAAAGTGAATGTGTTATATCATTCATTTGATTATCTAAAAACTGGTCTAAAATTGGATGTGAATTCCCGTTTATTTGTGTAAGTTGTTGTAAAATTATTACCTACCTGCCTAACTTATTTAATCTTTTGGGCTATCTTTTTTTATTAAGTCAATTAGTTATCAATAACGAGTGTACAGTTTCAGTAATTATTGAGGTTAAATAAGATCTAACAACACTGTAGTAAGTATATTATTTTAAATCTCTAAAATTAAAGAGTTAAATGACTAAGCGATTAGCATTTCGATGCTTTAATACATTAAATTTTCCCATCAGTTACTATAAGCAACGTATGTTTTAGTTCACTTGGGTGTTGGTTGTTTGAATTTGCTGATGTTTAGGACTGCAACTGATCAGTCTCTAATTGTCATATTTGCATCCTGATCTGTTTTCATCGATATCGCTTTAAGTCACGAGTATTATAAGCAGAGGTAGATGGTGGCTAGCAGTAAAATCTTGGGCTCCCAAATGCCCTGGTATGGCCGAGGATGGGGTGGACCCTCCCTCCCTCTCGAAATGCTCTCTCACGGCCACGCGTATACAGCCTCTGCCAAGGAAGTCCTTCTCACTGCCTTCTCTCACCAGGGGTGTTGTTTACAAAAATGAAAGGACAAAAAGCGAATGCCCGCCGCTTTAACTGGATTTCAAACCAATGGCGCACATAAGCTCCAGTATCCTGAGGGAACAAATGGCGTATGAACCAATTTTTGGTCACCGGCTACCATGGAACTGCATCTCCTCACGATGCTTCACTGCCTTATGGGTCAGACCTTTAGGTCAAAGGCTCGGGGTGTGGCTCCCTAAGAAAACAACCTGCTTCGGTCTGGGCATCCGGGCAGTATCACAGCCCACACACAAACAGAATGAAGTGACGATACTTAAGGAAAATATATATTTGCTTCGATTAACAGTCAAACGATTCACATTATTATTATTATTATTATTATTATTATTATTATTATTATTATTACGTCATTTATTCTCACTTTATGCATCCTCATTTTTTGACTTATACAGCAGCTCGCCTATGGTGGAATCTCACTTCTATCTAAACGTTCTCGAGTCACTGACTGGTTGAAAACTGAATGCACCACCAAATACGAATACTGAAACAGTTTTTCTGAAACCGCGTGCACCATTCAAACTGGCTGCCTTCAACTTCCGCACACTTATGCAGGTCGAACAACAGATAGGGCTTGCTATGTCTTTGGAAAGTCTTAACATTGACGTTTGTTGTCTATCCGAGACCCGTATTAAAGACTCTGGTGAAGTACTACAAATTTGCTGTCGCTTCAAAAAGCTTGTTTTACGTGCGTTTATCCGGGGACCGTGAGGCATCTTCTGGTCTTGCTGGCGTTGGTGTCGCACTAAGCGCTAGAGCTGAGGCAGCACTAATCGATTGGATTCTATTAACAGTCGGTTATGTTCTGTTAGATTAAAAAGTTTCATCAAAGTGAGAAGAAATCGGCGTGAGGAACGATGTCTTTTCATCATCTTTGCCTATGCCCCGACAGATTGCAACCCGGACGCAATCAAGGATGAATTCTACCACCAGTTAACTGTTCTTCTCCAGAAAGTGCGTTCGACAGATATTGCAGTACTAGCCAGAGACTTGAATGCTCAGGTCGGGCGTCTAGGCACAAAAGAGAGTCGTTTAGGTGGCCGATGGGGACTTGTTGGTCGCAGGACAGATAACGGGGACCGTCTATTGCAACTGTGCACAGACCACAACATGTTTCTGGCTGGCACTAACTTTCGGCACAGTCATCGCCGATGTGCCACCTGGCGTCCTCCCTCTGCATCTCAAACCTGGACTCATATTGATCACATCGTGATCCGCTACCGCTGGCGTGATTGTGTACAAGACTTCCGCTCCTTTTGGAGTACCTATCTAGACTCTGATCATGCCCTGGTCTGCGCCAATCTTACCTTACTTTTCAGTGGCCAACGAAGTGACCGCCACCAAGGGATTGATGTCAGCAAGTTGGTTGCAACTTATGTTGCTAGTAAGTATCGAACAGAGATAGTTTCTAGGCTAGCTACCATTCCACCGAAAATTATAGATGAGCATTGGTTGCAGCTTCATGACGCCACAAAAATGGCGAGTAAAGTCGCTTGCGGATTCGCGAAACGTCTCGCTTATAGTCAGTCAGTCAGTTACAACGTAGGACCAGGCATATATATGCATCGGTCCAAGTTGCCATACCGCATTAACACAGCAAGATGAACACCGGATTTATAGGAGTGGTTAAGTCAATGGTGGTAATATATAAAAAAAGATTGCATATAAGGATATAGTGCAGGAAGAAAGAATTAGTTAGTAAAAAGAAAAATATGAAATAATTGTTATCTCATAGTTTAAGGGAAGACAGAGTGTATACACGTACGCCATTTTGACCGATTCTGAGCCATGTCACCAAGAGTCTCCAACCATTGGTTACGATAGTCACGCGGACCCCAACCAAGTAGTTTGCATCTACCAACATGGCTCGGACTCGAAGTTAGTGTCTTCAAGCGCTGATGCCACGTTCTGTTTTGGCTGCCCCTGATTTTCTTCCAGCCATCCCCCCACCGGTTAGCATTGCACTTCGTGGTAATCGGTGTTCAGGCATACGCAACACGTGGCCCAACCATCTCAGTCGATGAAGATTCATAACCTCATCAACTGATTTACCATCATTCCCTAATACCCTGCGTCTAACCTCACTATTACTTACTCGGTGATCCCAGCAGATGTGAGCAATATTTATAAGGCATGTGTGGTCGAATATTGGTCGAGTATCTTCTACTCTTAATGGCCATGTTTCGCTGCCGTAAATTAAAACAGAACGAACTGTCGCGCAGTATACTCGTCCTTTTATTGATAGACGGATATCTCGCCTTCGCCATAGGTGACATAAGTTGGAAAAAGCCAAATGAGCTTTTCGAGTCCGTGCTGAAATTTCGTCAGACACCAAGCCATTAGGGCTGATCAGACTTCCAAGATAAGTGAAGTTGTCCACGCGTTCGACTACTTCACTCCTTACCCTTAGTTCAGGTGTTGACGCAGGTCAGTCCTGAAGCAACAACTTGCATTTAGAGGGAGAGAAGCGCATTCCAAACATTCTGGCATTGTTGCTTAGTGCTATCAGAAGACTGCATTTTGTCAGCGTCTTCACCGAACAAAACTGTGTCATCTGCGTACTCTAGGTCGATAAGTGGACCTCCTGGTAGGAGATCAATACCCGATAATTTAGTCGACGAGAATGTAAGCAATGCAAGCAATTTAAACCTATTAAGTAATTATGATTTTTTAAATATCACAAGTTGTAAGAAGCTGACGAGAACCTACGAAATAAAATGAATTCATTCTATTCTGCTAGAATATTTGTTCTTGCTCTTTTCAAAATTGTAAAGGGAACTATGTGTATGAAATGTTATTTCCATCAGTAGATCTATGATGAAGTTAAACAAAAATGGAGAAAATGGACAGCCTTGACGGACACCACTTGAGGTTGCAAAAGCAGATGACAGTTCGCCATAAGCTTTGACGCGACTAGTAGTGTTCGAGTAGAGAGTCTTTACAAGGTTTATGTACTTCTGTGGTACGCCTTTCAATGACACACTGCCACAGAACCTCTCGGTCTACAGAGTCAAATGCTGCTTTTAAGTCAAGAAAGATCACCATTGTCGGACGCCAATAAGTATGCTTGGTGAATATGTGGTCGGATAATCATCGAAGATAATATTTTAGATGCTATATGGTTGTCACAGGATGATTTCGACCCTCACTTATATATTGGGACGATGAGTGATTGTGACCAGTCAGATGGAATAACGTCCAACTCCCAGATCTTAGCTAAAATATTAGTCAACCTAATCGCTAAAATTGAACCACCATCCTTAAAGACTTCTGGAGCCAATCCATCTGGACCAGCTGCCGTTCCTCGTTTCGGATTAACTATAGCCTTTTAGACTTCAGCCAGAGTTGGGGGACCTATATCAATGTCCCATTCACACTGTCTGTGAATGGAGGGTAGTTGTAGAGTAACTGAAGGCCAGCTGAACTGTTCCCTAAAATGTTCCGCCCATCGTTCTAAACGTGTGGACTGGGAGCAGATGAGAGTGTCGTCTTTTTCCGAAATAGCCTGAGTTACACTTGACTTATTAATTCCAGTTTCTTTTATTAGTCGGTAGAGCTGTCTTGTGTTCCCTACAGCCGCCGCCTTTTCCATCTCCTTTGCTTTCGTTGCCCACCACTGCTCACTGTCGTTTCTTAGACTTTTTCTTAACCTAGATCTGATTTGTTGTCGCTCTTCATCATGTTCGGAACCTGATGGGACGAGTTTGCGAGAATCCATCAGTGCAATAGACCTTGAGGAAATCCATTGGTTCTTTGTAACCCTGTGGTTTAAATCACTGATAGATGTCACTGCTGTTTCCACAGCTGCTCGTATATCTTTCCAAGCAACATCTGGGTCAGCCTCGTTTTTGGAACTACCTAAGTGTGATCTCAGTTGTTGGTGGGACCTACTTTTGGTTTTCTCGCTACTCAATTCAAAACCTGGGAGAAGTGGACGGCCATTTCATTCGCGCGCGAGACCGAAGGTCGTGGTTTCGAATCCCTCTTGAGGGATGGTAGGTTCACAATGCTGAGGAGTCTCATAACTGGAAGAAACGGTCGTCCAGTTCTTCCAGGTTTTCAGTGATGGTCTAGCTTAGATTGACTTGTGAATTCAACAGTGAAAATACTTCATTCTGCACATATCCCCATACTGTTAAGAGAACTTAAAGAATTTCTAACATAATTGATGTAAAACATGTTTAAAGGGCGTATTTAAGGTATTCATTTGAATATATGTTCTTAAGTGTCTAAGTTTCCTTCACTGTACTTTCTGGTAGTACGATCTCTGATGTTAGACATCTAATTGATCATAGCAGCCCATGAGAAATATAAGGCACGTTTTTATACCCTATGTAAATTCACCAATACGGTTGGTTTATGTGAACATAATTATATCGTGTCTGACATTTAGTTGGAAAATCCTATAATCTACGGTCCTGCTTCCTTTTCTTTATAATTCTTACTGTGTTTCTTGTTTATATGTGCTGCTAAGAGGGGGTAAATGCGTAGACAATCACGATATTATGTTAATAACATCAAGGGTTGATTTTCGTCAGTGAACCATTCAAAACTAGGGACTACTTGATAGTTGCGTTAGGAAGCTATACCCATGAATATTGTCAAATATATACTACTGGGTCTCGGCTCAGTGGTCTAAGGGTTAAGCACTCGCTTCGAGATCTGAAGTACTCGGGTTCAATTTCCAGTGGAGTCGTAGGTATGTGCTGCTGACGAGTCACATGCTAGGATGAAATAGCTGTCTAGTGCTTCCTATTTTTCATTGGCTATCTAACTAAGGTCAGTCCGTGATGTAAATTCGGAATGTGGCGTTGCCTATCTCAGTATATCAATAATTGGGTCTCATAAGCTGCTGCTTATTATAATAATATATTTTTTTGCCTCTAAACAAAGTCCGTTGTATTTTTAGAGACAATCAAGAGGTAGCTGTTGTATATTTTAGAACTGGCTATACTCCAGATGCTTTCCCTGATGACGAAGTGAGTGATGTTTATCCTTCTGATAATGTTTGTGTTAAGTTATGTGATATTTTCTGTTGTAACGGGTGTGACTGCAGGTTTTGATAAGCAGCGTATTTATTGATCGACTCGGTGACAGTGACACGTGAACACGTACGGACAGCCTAGAGTCTCGATTGGTTTGCGCTTCCCTGTCTAGCCCAGTCAGTTGAGTCCAGAACACAAGTCACAACCTCTGAGATATGAATCATTATATTTCAGACATACTTTGTTTATATACCAATCACGCATACCACATCGTACCATAAAATAGAAAACAACATTTTGTACAATATTCAACAAGTGAACAGATATCGACCGATAGGAAATGTCCATTTAAAGTCCAAGGACACCACTGGACTTAACATGATAATTATTGGTCTATTCCTCCGCATCCACAACATTTTCCAATCAATTATTCTTCACTTTTGATCTTATCTCCTTTTAACCACTTGTTTATCACATACAATTTCTTTATTAATCTTTCAATACTGATTTAAAGTTGTTATTCAGTAAAATTCTTCGCGGTGATATAATGAACAGAAATTAGACATGATGGTCAGGTTTCAAGTGTATTAGTTTCTGATTGACGTTTATGTTTCATGTTCTTTGGTCGCTTTAAATAACCATATTTATTTTGTCAAATATTTTCGCATATATTTGCAAATCAGTTCTATTGCATTTCACTATATGTTCATTTACATTGGTTCGAGTTGCCACACTTCATATGTTCATTTGAAATTATTCTTAGGTTTAATAGTTATTGACAACTGAATTCCATATAAACTATTTACCAAATCAACTGAACCTGTTATATAGACTACAGATGTGACTCGTTCAGTAAAATACCTATGTAAGTAACAATTTAGCATGAAGCGCAGAACATTTGTCTGCAGTGATGTTATGTTTATGTAACAAAAACATAAACTGTAGACTAATAAATCATCTTGTCGAAGGGCCCCTGAACAGGGCCGAATCATCTTCACTTTGAAAGCTCTTCGATGTCTGCTATGTAGAAAAACAAGGTGTTATTAAATGTGGCACCCAAAAAAGTTCTTATAATACTGGTTTTGGATATAGAACGACTAATAATACGGATGGAATGTTTTTCCAGTTACCACTACCTCTACATCATACAATCGTTTTCTCCAAGCTAATATTATTTTTATTATTTAAAACTGTCGGCTGATACAAATTTTTAAAAAAATAGTGTTCATTAAAGTCGAATTGTTCAATAACGCTTCCGTCTAATAATAATAATAATGACAATAATAGTTTATTCTCGAATAATAATAAGTTACACGAGTCATGCCAATTTTAAGGATAAGATCAAATTGATAAAAATGTTATGATATTCACTACATTAGACTAGATAACCCAGTTTAGTTGACACGTTATAACGAAACATTTGCTACTAAAATAAAACAACAAATGTTGGTATATAAAAACATGATTAATGGGATTAAACCTGAAATATGCAACATAAAAATTTTACCCATCATGTTGATGCTGCGTTACAGAAATGAACTGTTGGTTGCAAATAATGCAAATATTATGCAGTCGTCTTGCAGTTAAAAAAGCCAATTTTTTGCATATATTTTGTTGTTTTTTGTTACTGTTTGTCAAGTAACATATTATAGCATTATTGTAGAAAGAATTCCTACCACAGTATCAAGTAAGACGTACATTAAAGTCTTAAGTTCTGGATACGTATTTTGTGTGTTGCATCACGATAGCACATTCAACGATGACAGATGGGGCAGTCTGAATATTATATACTTCAGTTTGCTCAATTGCATCTATTTTACAATACCTTTGCTCCCATGTGCTTCGCAGTTGTGTTAAGTATATTTAATACTGACGTATGTGCAGTTTATCAGGGGAAAACAACTACAACAACTCAGGAATAGTATTGTTGATGGCGTCCAAACATAGTAATGTCTAACATTTAAATAATTAAAGGTTTCCTAGACTTCAGCTAGACTCGAGAGACCAGGATCAATAAGTATAACATCCAGCCTTTAGTCTGCCAAAAATTCATGGTTGTGGGATACCGAGGTACCAAAGTCACCGAGTGGTCAGGAAAATAGTGTATTGTAATCTGATTTTTTTTCTTGTTATGATATGTATCTGTCTATAATACAAAATGTCCTAACTACTAGTTTGATTGGTTTCCAGAAAAAATTGTTTTTGCTTAAGTTTACGTGTTTTACAAATAATCTGGATTAAATAAAGTGTTTACCATAAAAAAATCAATAGTTTCTGAGATGAATACAAACATTTAAATACCAATATCACTGATACTTTTAAGCACAGGAAGCTGTAAGACTAAGTTACTAAGTTGTTGGAAAGTATTCGTAATAATCTAAATATTTTCAACTTTATCCGAAAGTAACAGGAAGCAGTTGAAATTTGTTTATCAGTAGATATGAATGATTTGATAATACAGTTTTCTCCAATTCCATCAATTATCTGTTTTAATTTATGGTCAAGAAAGCTATTAAACGTTTATATCAGTATTTTACCGAGTTTAACAATTGTTTCTGATCGTTTTGCATAGCGTCGTAATATATTTGATAAATATTTTTTTACACTTGATGGATAAATAAATGTGATCATGAAAAATCAGAATGATCAAAAATTCTACTATTAGTATTTGTCTTAATAAGTTTGAAACATGCTCATTGGGGAAGCATTCATGTCACATGTCTTTGTATCTACATGTGGCTGTACGTTTAGTATTAAAAATATAATTTGCGATATGGATAAATCATTTAATTTATCGTCAAGGCTAGGGGCGGCCTGACCAAAACATGGCACAAGTCCATGAAGTCACTGACAAGTGGACTGAGTCATATTGGTAGGTGTAGACTACCTGATTAGGGACCGCGAGATCATAGCAACCGATGGTTAGAGACCCTGCATGACATGGCTCAAAATCGTTTGCAATGGTGTGCGCAGGTGCATCCATTCTTTGTGTTCTCTCAAATTCTAATCTTCTGAATTCTTCAGTCCCTTTCTTTTTTCTCTTTCCAAATTTATTTCACTGGATTATACTCATTGAATAACATCTTCAAACCCTAATTTTTCTGATCACAGCTTATAATTTCACTACATCTAGCACTACGGGATTTGAATCGATCACTGCATCTCTGTGCTAATGTGGTGTGGCAACTCGAACTGATGTATGTACGTACGAAGTTCTACGTTGTTACTGACTGAATATCGTCAAGGCATCGAGTTCAACTGAGAAAGTTACGCAAAAAATAATTACTTCGCATAAAGTGGATTTATTAAACATCCATTCAAAGGGGATTAGCTAAGTATGCTATTTTGGTGCTAACTAAGGGCCAGCATTTCACTGAGCTTTCCTAATATCAAGTTGATTATAACATGAAAACTAATGCTACTTAGAGAACAAACCTCTTTTGGTCAACGAGTTGTATTTCACCACATCCACTTTTTTAAAAAGAATAGTTAGCGTATTATCTAAAAAATCTCATACTGCAGACCGAATAATTTGATAATAAATGGTTACATATTATCCAAAAGTATCCAAATTCAGTCCGTTATAAAAATCCTTGATTAATATTTAATGGATCGCATGTTGACATTCTTTGTCACGTGTATTCCCTGGAATACTTTTTGTGTTTCTTATAACTTGTGACCGCCGATTAGAGAGCAGTGACTTATCGATCGGATCAATAACGCGTAAACCCGTGTGAGCAGTCTGGAGTCCTTATTGGTCCCACTTACTGTCTAGCACAGTCAGTTAAGTACAGAACACCAATCCGAGCCTCTGCGATATGAATCATTTATTTCAGACATACGGAGTTTATATACCAATCAAACAGACCAAAACGTACCATAAAATAGGAAATAGCATTTGTACAAGATTCGGCCAAAAAGTGTCTGTGAATGAGGGAGGTAGTGATTAATAGACAGGGCATAATTCAAGAATGGTAAAACGTATAATAATAGTTTATGGGTCAAAATAAAGCTTATAATAATAAGAATATGAATATGCATAGTTTAGTTATTTGACAATTATACGATAAAATATACGTTTATTATTGGTCCATAAATGGATCCCAAAAGTTACCATTCATTATGCTTATCGGGACCTAACAGTGTTCAATCGCAAAACTAAACTAACTTCTTTCGTCAATTACTGACGTGCACAGTAACAAGAATTATCTTGCAGTTAATGATTGAGATCATGAAAATAAATTTTTTCATAATGTTTCGTTTAACAATTAAACAGAAGACTGCAACATTCGTCGTCTATTTCTATATTGAAATAAATTGTAATCGTACTAACAGTTCACTGGCAACCTTTATATATGAATTATTAAAATGGATCCGTTTTATACTTCATAATAACGTACACTTCATATTCTCATCAAAATCCATTCATACATTTCGTTGATATTAATTAAAAGGTGCTTAACTTCTTTTAACATATTATCAAATGTTTTTAAAAAAATTTAATTAATCCCTGATGTACTTAACTCATCTCGTTAACATTTAGTGACTTCAAACAATGTTTTTTTACTTTCAACATGCCAACACACGGTTCCACATATTGTTTATTCCCATCTAATCTTTCCAGCGTGTTCAGATATCTTTTTTTCATTAAGCTGTTGATTTACATCCGTATCTTAGATTCCAGTGAATACATAATATGTAAGTACTAAATCTGCCATGATTACATTTACAGATAAGAAATTATGTCGTAATATAATAATTCACAATACTGAATTTGTTATATCTACATTATTACAGAGCTGTAATTTTGTGCTTATCAAGTTTTCTCAGATTTTACTCTCCATAATGAACAGCCTTATCAATGACTCGATTAATACAACGGTCCGCGTTAGAAATTTAAACATCTAAGTAATCAAATAAACAGAATTTATATAAGGAGAAGAAACTTGCGATGGTAGAGACAAGATTTTTATTTTAGGTGGGTTATTTTATTAGTTTCATTCTCTGACCTGGACGGTTTAATCGTGTTTAATCCTGTCAAAATAAATATGCAGATAATGACAGAATAAAGGTCAACAATAATTAATAAATCAAGTTCGACCAAACATGCTATCAGTAGGTTATGTGGGGAGAAGTTTGAATAGTTCAGTTCTACCTGAAGTCTGTACTAATTATGTTGTTCTGTAGATCCATGAAAATTTCACAATTAAACTAGTCAAGTCAAAGAATGTAGCAAGACATAAAACTCAGATTCCCATCACGCTACTGTTGACAAGTTTCCACTGTGCATTATAGATGTGTTTCTCTCATAGTTTTGTCGAGATTTTAGCATGGTATTTTATATCCCTACTTACTGCAACATACAACTTGATCTGCACATCTATTCCCCTTGATGTTTATTTTCTGCACTGATTCGTATAAGTCTTCTAGGCAATATATAACACTTCTTTCCAGATTAGCTGCTCAATAGTCCAATAAAATATCTATGTTAATTTTTCTAATAAATCTAGTTAATGATACTTTCAGCTATTTGGTCTTTATATATTTCCGTTTTGTGTGTGTTTTATTCACTTCGTGCGTAGACATGGGATGTGAAATATCAACTTGAACGGTCGTTAGCTATCAAATGCCCATGCATACAATATATGCTTGCAAATACAAAAATAATACAGGCCGCCCTATCAAAACCGAAATATTTATCTAGATTTTTTAATCCGGATAGTTCAAGTTATTTAAATATTTTATCTACATTCGCCCATCAATATACATTAGATGAAGAAATGGGAATATCGGATTCCACTGAGATTCAATATGTAATTAACGATTGTCTATTAAGACCAGATAATTATGTTTTGAAACCACAGAGAGAAGGTGGAGGGAATAATTATTTTGGAGGTATTGGTTTTCTTGTTAAATCTTTCTCGATAACTACCATTTCAATTTTATTCAATCCGATTAGATTTGTTAGTCGATCTTTTAAGGTGAATAATCACTTTTCACGTTATTAACCTTTATGCAATAAGTATGTCGTTTACGGGCTTGGTCTATAAAATGTTGTGTTGAGTTATGCTGAGTTTTTCGGTTATTACTATTATCACTTCAAAAGTGCTTAGTGTGAGTGGGTTTTTCTAGAGAGCATCCATGTCCAGATACGATGTTTCGAATATAATTGTTTTGGAGCGAATATGTTAAGGGTTATCCGATAAATATAAGGACTGAGATACTTAGATTTTTGATGAAGCTTTGTGAAAACACTGAAGGAAACGACTCATTTAGATTGGATTAAGCATTTTAGTAGATTGTAGTGACGCAAGGTCAATGATAACCGTCAACATTTACTTTTATTCCAGACGTTCTAAGTGTAAGGCATCTTGAACTTTTTGACGACTGACTCTTTGTCCGAATAGCTAGTGATGAAGTGAATCAAGAAACATCATCCATACACACGATCCTAGCATAAAAATAATGAAAGGATGAGGTTGTTGAAAATCTTGACCTTTTAGGACCGTCAAGGATGTTATAAATGATGAACGTGAAGATAGAACGGCTATTTCGTAATAAATTGGAAGTGTTTTGAAGTGGATATATCCAAAAGTTTCTACACCAAAATCTGCACCTTCCTAACCAGTGGTTAACGACTTCATGAACCGCTAGCGCGTTCCGATATACTCACTCTTGGCTTTTTTCCAACCTGCACGTATTTCATTTAACAGTCCATGACAGGACATAGAATAACACTTGTCCCAATCATTCCGGTCGACCATGGTTTACAGCGTTATCAATCTAACCTAACATATTTATCTAATATCATGTCCATAACCAGCAATACTCACTTGGTAGTTTTACTATATGAGCCCTTCTTTAAAGAATATATAAATAAAAATATGTCGAGTTTCAATTTGTAGTTAATGATAAATGACGTGCTTTACGAACACTAGGACCAAACTATGTTTCTTACAATCACTCTTGTAAGTCTTTATCGGCACCCTATCGAAAACAATTAAATTAGCAGTACCGTTCTCAAATTTAGATGTACACACTAGCTAATTACTTACGACAAATATCTAAATCTTGCTTAAAGCTAGATTTACTTATGGTTTAGTAAGTACGAGTTGTAAAATCATAGGAATAGATTGTTTGTTACAAAATAGTTCTAATCATCAATGATTAATAGATATGTCATTTGAAGAATAACTTATTGACTATGATTTAGATTGGTCTAATTCTTAATCAGTTATTCTCTTTACTAATTATACATAGAGGAACTTGTTCAGAAATTAAAGTCAATTATGAATCATTCTGAAAGAAAACTGTATGTACTTATGGAGCGTATACAACCATATATTTTTGAAAATTCTTTATTGAATTCAACTTCAGCTTCTGGAGAATTAAATGTCAAGAAAATGGTTACTGAATTGGGTATTTTTGGTGCAATTCTTGCGTAAGTTTAACAACTAGTAGTGTACTTTCTTTTATTTCTAGTTTGTCATTTTGATTTTGAAAACCAATGCAAAATACTCTGTCAATGAATAATTTACTTAGTGGTCGTTAATTCACGTTTACTTCATTTTAAAAATTGGTAAAACTATAATACTGTCATTTATGATACTATTATAGAGATTCAAATGAGTTATATTCTTTTAGATTGAAGGAATGTTGATGGATTAAAATAGGGAATGATTGCATTACACCGCAACTTATTTTTGATTTTCGAAGTTATGATTGGTGGATTTTATGTGGCAGCCAAACCATGACATGACATCAGTCCATGAATCATGGGCCACTGCCCAGACGTATGTTGGTAGGTATACACTACTTGTTTGGATTTAGCATGAGGTTAAATAATAATGCTAAAATCAAGCTCATTTGTAAAGATGCATTCACTCTCCCTCTACCCAGATCTAGATTTTAAAATTTGTGTTATATTTTTTATTTCGGGGATTCATTTTCCCTGTCACCCCTTGTGGAGGAGCATAAGCCGCTCACCAGCACGAATCTCTCTGTGTTGATATAATATAGCAACATGAGTCTATGCACATTTTTGCCATTTCCTATACTGCTTATATCTGTCAAATTTTTCGCAATAAGGTGTAAGTAAAAAACAGAATCTCTACTAAATAATAAAGGAAATTCTTTGTGAAATTATTAGAACCTAGATGTTAAAAAGTAGATGTCAATCCACTTTAATTAATTTCAGACCATATTTATTTTGAGGTCTTTATGTAACTGCTAATGTGGTTTACTTTACTTAGTCGGACGAAATTACATTCAGTCAGCAAAAACGTAGAAATTCGTATGTAAGTACATCAGTTCAGGTTGCATTACCACATTAGCACAGAGATACAATTGTCGATCCACATTCTATAGTGGTAGAGGTAGAAAAAGTATAAGCAGTAATTAGAAAGATTATGGTTTGATGATGTTATTCAAGGGGTGTTATCCAGTGAAATAAATTTGGAAGGAGAAAAAAGAGACATGAAAAAACTCCGACGATTAGAATTCGAGAGAACACAAAAAGTGGATGCGCCTGCGCCATTACAAATGATTTTGAGACATGTCATTCAATGTCTCAGTTGCTATCGTCTCGCGGATCCCAACCAGTTAGTCTACACTTACCAACATGGCTCATTGCACTTGTCAGTGACTTCACGGATTTGTATCGTGTTTTGGTCTGGCCGCCCCTAGCTTCCTTCCAACCTACTCATACACCATAAAACATCGCACGTCGGGGCAGTCGGTGGTTGGGCGTAGGTAACATATGTTCCAGACATCTCAAGTGATGAAGTTTCGCTACGTTATCAATTGATTTGGCATCCTTACCTAGTACCCGTTTCCTAACAACTGCATTACTTACTCGGTAGTCTCAGGATATACGAGCAATTCTTCGAAGACACCTATGATCGAATACTAGTTGTGTTCAAGTAGAAAGCCTGTAATTGCACTATTCATTGATTTCTCTTACGAATTGTAATTTAAATACTATCCCAATGCTTTTTCTTGTAAACAGGTGTAAAGATGAAATCTTCCTGAATGAGTTTTCTGGTCACCTTCTTCGATCAAAACCACTGGAATCTAATGAAGGTGGAATAGTAGCAGGTTATGGTTGCCTTGACTCTCCATTCCTCGTTTAATACGTTTCAATTACTTTCATTTTGCTTCAGTGAAATAACAATTAGAATGATTTTTAAAAAATACATGATTTGATAATTTTATTCATTATAATATTTAAAAAATGGAAACTTCTTATTCCAAATAAATGATTTCATTAGGTTGTCAGTTTTATAGATTTTTACACTAATATAATCGTTTCAGCTATTAGTTATCAAGATGTAGTTTGCAGCAGATCTACCTTAACATGAAATTCTTCGGGATCACAGAACTTTTAAGTTATTTACACAAGCATGTTCAAGCTAATGGGAATATTCGTCATTTGTTACCACCTGAACTCCCTTCACCTTATGCTGCAGTTACTGAGTTGCATCCATTTAATAATGACAAATAAAGTGTATTAAGTAGTTTGAAGCGGGGAAAGTGTTTCATTGTGAATGAGAATAATTCAGTTGCTTTCAGGTATGCAGGTGTTAAACACTCCCCACTTCACCCATAACGTTTTGATGGGTTTAAAAAAGAAAATGGATCAGTGGCGAAGTTCTTGTAAACCTGAGTATAACCACAAAGTCCAGGGATTAGCTGCTTAAGTTCAAAGACGCACGATATATTAGCTCCGTGGTTGACAGATCTTGTTGTGAGCACTGGTAATCTGTCGGGGGAAGAAAAGGCATGTTCCTTTCAGGGTTAACCCTTCCTAGTTCCTTTGTGAGGCAGTAGTACTGCGGTTGTCGTGGCGCATATGCATCTGTTGCTCTCTTGTACCAATATTTATGTGTTCAAATAAATACTGGGGTTTTTATTTATCCGTGAGGAACACTACTGCTGCTACACCTCGTTGCGATCAGCAAAATGACTTCACCTTCGGACCTCAAGTGTGATGCTTTTGGTCTTGATCTTCAATCGACCCACTGAATATAGAACACCAAGTGTATCAGTCAACATAGATCAACATTATATGCGAGCCCAAACATCGTCGCGACGCACCAGAAACGGTCAGGTCCAAAGTCATTTATGAGTGGCACTGAACTATGGACTCACATTAGTTTGCCTACACTAAATAAAATCTATGTTAGCCAGTTCTTAATAGCGGTCGAATTCTAATAAATTAAAACCTTGAGAAATACCATTGTAATCCTGCATATAGAACAACCAAGGATTTTTTCTTACAATATGAATTATTGAAAGTCAAGATTCGTGGCATTTCATAAAATGTTTTCAGCTGGTCTCCAATCACACTACCAAAAGCTCACAATTTCATTGCGGATACCGACGAGGTTTTCACCTCTTGATTTAATTCATTCTAACTGTCAATGACTTCATGCTCTTATAATATCTTTATTCAATGAATATTTGCAACTCCATCAGTCTGTTTGCCATCACCACCTAGCAACCTACACCTAACTCCGACATCGCTGGGTGTTTCTATTATACTTGCGAAGTTCTCGCAATTTGTTTAATCCGGTTGGCGTTTTTTAGCAAGATGATACAACGAAGAAACTAGCAGAGAGATATAGTAAACCAGAGAAACCAATCAAGAGTAAAGAAGACAAGCCAATCACTGAGATCCAAGAACAGAGGACAAGATGAGTAGGGCACTTTGAGGGACTTCAAGATAGGTCAGCTCCATTGAATCCGTCGGACATCGAAGCAGCACATACCTTCCTATAGATTTCACCCTACCAACGACGGAAGAAATTAAGACGGCCACCATACAAATCAAAAGTGAGAAGGCACATATTCCATGTTCTGTTCGAGAAGATTGGGGAGGAAGAACAAGTGCCGATGGACTAGAAAGATGGACACCTTATCAACATAGCAAAGAAAGGAGACTAGCAAATAAGAGAACTAAAGGGGCATCACACTACTGTCAGTACAAGAAGTTTTCGACAATGTTGCTGGACCGGATGAAACACGCACTAGACGCCCAAGTTCGTCATCAACAGGCTGGATTCCGTAAGGACCGGTCGTGCACAGACCAAATCACGACACTACGGATAATCGTCGAACAGTCGATTGGGTGGAACTTGTCAATATACATCAAATTCATTGGCTGTGAGAAGGCGTTTGATAGTGTGGACAGGAGAAAACTATAGGGTTCCTGAAAAGATTGTCGACATAATCCGTAACTTATACGACGGACTACAGTGCAAACTCGTGCGTGGATGACAGCTGATAGATGCACTCCAACTAAAGACCGGAGTCAGACAAGGCTGTCTACTCTCCCCCTTCCTCTTTCTTCTGTTGGTTGACTGGAATATGAAGACCTCCACATTTGACGGGAAGCACGGAGTACAATGAACAGCTTAGGATCAATTAGACGATTTGAACTTTGCAGATGACCTAGTCCTCCTATCCCATGCGCATGAAGAAATTCAGATGAAGACAACTAGTGTAGCAGCAGCCTCTGCATCAATAGGCCTCAACATACAAAAGCAAGATCCTCAAATACAACACGGAGAATACAAACTCAATCACACTTGATGTCGAAACTCTGGAGGATGTGGAATCTTTCACGTACATGGGAAGCATAATCGATGAACAAGGAGAATTTCATGAAGATATAAATTCGAGGATTGGCAAAGCCGCATCCCTACAACTGAAGAATGCACGGAACTCAAAACAACCGCCAAGCAGTATCAAAGTCTTGATCTTCAATACAAACGTCAAGACAGTCCTACTGTACGGAGCTGAAACGTGGAGAAGTACTACAACCATCATCAAGATACTGAACGTTTGTTGTTCGGACACCATCAGCCACAGCCTACTGTTGGAGAGAGCAAACCAGCTTCCAAATAAAGAGAAAATTAGGAAAAGATGTTGGAAGTGAATGAGACATACGTTTTAGAAACCATCGGACTGTATATATATATATATATATATATATATATATATATATATATATATATATATATATATATATGGAATGCTGAAGGGAAACGGAAAAGATGAAGGTCGAAAAACACACTGCACCGAGAATTGGAAGCAGACTATGAAAAGGATGAGTAGTAACTGGAAAGGATTTTCCGGGATAGAGTTAGATGAAGAATGCTGATGGGCGGCCTATGCTCCTCCACTAGGAGTAACAGATGTAAGTAATCCCGCAAGTTGTTTGTGGTCAGACATTAATTATCATATTCTCAATCAATTTTTGGGAGTCGACGGAGATCTCGATGTTCATAAAGAAAGTATTTACCAGTTCACTGTCCATTACCTTACAGCGGAGAAACATACATTATGACGACAGAAAGCATCCGTAAACTTTTGGTATTCGCCTGTCAGTTTTTTTGAGCCATGAGGTGCAACTTGCTCAGCTGTATACGAAGCACAGTCATCTCGAATAAGACCTCGTCGTTTCATCTCAGTTTTCAGATGCAAGCTTATAGGAAATTTACGAGACGCAACAATCTCAAGTTTATGAACTACAATATTTACAAAACGCCAAAAAACGGGGGCATGTTCCCGAACCTTCCCAATACAAGTTGACTACAACGATCTTAAACCTACCAGTTTGGTTAACCCCTCACGGTTCTCGTGTAATCACAGATATTGAACTTTATTATAGCAGCACTTTGGAACTCAATGATCTGCTTAGTTTAGCAGGAACCACTCCACTCCTAGGTTTACTGATTGGGACTCTTGCGTGTATTCTTATAAACCCCTTCAACAAACTAGTTCTTTAATAACACATATTAGGGTGACATGATTCTTGTATGATTGTTTACATTTTTCCGCTCCTCATGCTTGTCGTGCGTAAGTATAAGTCTATTCACACTCATCACTTATGGCAGCAAACACTTCAGTATCAGTACTTCAGCGACTGTCTCCACAACGAAAAGTAAATCGCACCAGGAAAAACTACTGGATCAACAACTTCGATACTTTACACCGGTAGAGTTCACCAAACCACTGTTTGAATAACAATGATTGCAAAACACTATGATGAGCTGAGGTAGAAGAACAACACTAGTTTCTTCCCTTCTAGATCTGTAATATGCTTCGGTAAATAGAGTACGTAGATACCATAATTTGCGCACTTTCGTTTGAGAGCTGGTTGTGCCGACTGGTTGCCTAAACCAGAGTCAACTGTTGTGATCGCTGAATCATTACTCTACAGAATAAGAATATATGCAATAACCCAGTTAACTTTTTTTTGAAATAGTATTAATCCTAATATTACTCTGAAAAGTACAAACTGATATACTTATAAAGATAGTAGGTTAGTGAAAAAATAGAAATCCAGAATAACAATGAAACCGTAGATTTAATACTAGGAATGAAACTCGAATATTGCGAGATACGATCTGCCTAATAGTCAAAGTATATCTGTTTCTTTACTCAAAAAACTTCGGATTTCATCCAGTAGCTCTTGCTTTACTGTGTCTGGCACCATACGTCGACCGACTGGGGTAATTTCAGCTACCAAATCGTCTATTGTTAGGTTTTCAATCCCGCGATCCCGAATAACATCTGAAATTTGAAAAGGGAGAGTATTTACTCAAGTTGAATATACGTGAATAAAAACATTTTAATGACTAGGCCGCTGGGGCTGTGAAAGTCACATTACTACTTATCTCACGAATCGGTAACAATCATTCATTCCATAGATGTGGTTGAGGAATTTTAAAATCTTCTTAAGTTTGAAACTCCACTAACTTGCTCTGGAACTTGGATATACCGACCTATAAAAGTCACATGGTAACCCAAGGTCCCATAGTACCTCAGATGCTGGTGTATAAGAGATACAATAAGTGTGTGGATTTTCCACCAACTAGTCCCTGGCAGCGTCGATCTAGTTATCTGCAATCACTTGTGACTCCATGTGTGTTCATTCGGTATTTGGCAATACAACTTCCCATAGTTTCACTTTCCTGCTTATTTAGACCGATTAAGTGTTTAAGACTGTGCAGCATCCGAACCAAACCATAGACCATAACAGTTTTCTCTAAAAATGCCATGTCGGTTGAGGGGGGCTGAAATCTTCACAGATTGAGGTCGCTGATATGTGTGTTACACATGTCTAGTCACCATCTGCTCCGATGAATTGTGCTGGCTATATCTTTATTAGTTAGAAAGACTGAGAGACCGGGACAAGATATGAAGTTTTCATTGTGTTTCTGAACAGCATCATTAGCAAAAGCTTCAGGTAGAAATGAGGTATTCAACAG